TCAACAATGCAGAAATAGAAATATATATATCTAATTTTAACTAAATGTATTTTGTAATGATTTGGGTGATTGAGAAATGCAGCCCATTGCTTTATGTGTTTTTTAAAGATTTAACAAAAAAGGGGGATTATATTCTGTATTTGTATTACTTCCTGCCTCTGTTCTCTGAATGTGTAGTGTTGTATTAGCACATATCATTAAAGGAAAAGTCCTGTCAGCAAGGAATACCCAATGGGTCATTATTTATACCTAAAACTAATACATTCATAGTGATAAAAAAATAAAAACAATTTTCGTTGCGATCACTGAGCAGTAACACCTAATTCCTGACCTCTTTTAGTGCGTTAAGCTGAGCGCCATTCTCACTGCTTTACATGCAAAGCCAGTGAGAACTAATAGACACCCCTGCAATAAACTATTATTTAAGATTTTGAGAGGACTTCACTACTGAAAATTGCGAGGGATATAGTTAAACTGACAATGCCCACGTGTATGGCAGTTGGAAGTTGTAAGACATCAGGTGTTATTCATTTAGTTATTTCACCTTTCCGTTTCATGATCCACCACAGATAGGTTACTGCAGTCCTAGTAGGACAAAGCCTTGATAGAGCGTTTTACTCAAAATGAACCTTTAGCAAATGTTATTCATTATGACGGCATTGTGTTTTTTTTTTTCTTTTATTGGAATTAGTGGTGTGAATTTATCACTTTCTGTAAAGGGAGGGTGTGTAAAAATTCAAGCACAACTTTGTGTATGTATATATATATATATATATATATATATATATATATATATATATATATATATATATATATATATATATATATATATATACATACATATATACATATATGTATACTTTACATGCTTTCAGGGGGCATCCAGAACAGAGGTCCGAAACAGCCACTACAAACCTCTTCTAAATGTCAAACTCCTCAACCTACAGTAACATTAAGTGGGTGCCCTACCACCTTTAGGAGAAAACTTATATCAGGGATCTTGTTCTTTTGGTTATGGTCCTGATTTTCAGATTCCCACATTTTCATGACCATTGGTGAGGATAGGGACGTAGAATGACTGGCAAAACAAGAGCTTTTCCTTTTGCTCAGCTCTCTCTTCACCATGGGAGATTGGTGTAGCATCTACCAATCTCCAGCTCCATTCTCCCCTCACTCATGGACAGGATCCGAAGATACTTGAGCTTCTCCATATTAGGCAATACCTCTGCTCTGAGCTGAAGAGGGCAAGCCACCTTTTTTGGGTCAAGAACCATGGACCCCAACTTAGAAAGGCTGATCTTTATCCCGGCTGCTTTTCACTCGGCTGCAAACCTTCCCAATACATGCTGTAAGTCTTGTCAAGAGGAAGCCACTATGATCATGTAATTCTCAAAAAGCACAGACGAAATTCTCTGGTCCCCAAAGCAGACTCCTTCCAACCCTTGGCTACACTGAGTAATCCTGTCCACAGAGGCTATGAACAGGACAGCTGACAGAAGGGAAGCCCTGCCAGAGTGCAACATACAATGGAAAAAATCTAATTTAGTGCCTGAAATGCTTACTAGACTCCTGCTCCACTTGTACAGAAGCTGGATGGCCCCTAGTAAAGGGCCCCCTCATTCTGTACTTCTGCAGCACCCTCACTACAAGTGATGTGGTCGCCCTCTACAGGTCAACAAAACAAAGATGAACCAACTCTTCAGGAATCTTGTCGGACCACGCCATTCAATCCTCCTTCTTACATACACATAATCTTACATATAGGGGGCTCACAAAGTGATCTTTTCCTTCAAATTTTGACAGCATTAACTATTCAAATATATTAAATTGATTCAAAATAATTAATTCAGTATTTAATAATAAAACAAGAATACTTCATGTCACATTAAAACAATAAATAAATACAAACATGCTGTTTGTTTTATTTAAAAGACAGTTTATTAGCCTCCAACAGCACAGTCATATGAAATATCATCTTGAAATCCATAATTATGAAATGAAGAAATGAAGAAAAAAGCTTGTATTGCAGCAGTAAAAGAAAAGGCTAAACAGAATCTATAAAAGAAATGTCATAGATTACATTTCTAGTAACATGGACTTATTTTTTTGACTAACTTAAGGATTCAATCACAATTTTGTTACAGCTGCAATGTGGATACGTAGTTTCCATTAATCCAATAAAATCTATTTTATTTGTCACATAATCTCACAGCAACAATATTGAAGATGCAACTTTACTGTCTATCTGCTTCGTCTCTTGGAAAGTTTGGTTAACTGAGAAATTATTTCCGTTTTAACAGTTTCCCCAAATTGAAGCCCTGAAAGGTTCACAATGAGTTTTTTTAAAGTCCTACAGAACTCTTGTGCCATTATACCCAAAAAATATTGGCAGAAATAAAACTTTTTTCTTTTTGTAACTTTCTTATAAATGTGTTTTTATTTGGCCTTAAAAGGCTAATTTAAACAAATTAAAGGAAGTGTAATTCTGATAACTTACACTGTTCTGTGTGTTTTTGATTTTCTAACAAATACAATGTATGTCATTTTTATTCATTTTAAAGAAGGCAACATTTGTTGTTATTCAGTTCTGAAAGTGGGGTCCTTAGCAGGATTTTAGGTGTTTTGCAATTGTTCTTTTTACCACAGGAGGTGCTGTAGAGTTTGTCTTTGACCTAGACCTACAACTGTATTACTGGCTGCAAAGTCAAAACAAAAAATCTTGAAGTAAATCTGTGATAACAACATGAAAAAAAGCAAATACGCATTTTTAATCAGGCTAAAAAACAAAACAAAAAACCCACATGCCGTTCAGGGCTTCTGCAAGGAACCTTGACCAAGGTTGTTCTTTTAACAACACAATATTACGGTTTGAAGCATCCTACTGGTTTTGATTGTGCAGATCTAATAAACGCAGACAAGGAAGTCAGCATTTAATGTATTTGGCACCTCTGTCTAGCTTGATCAAAAATAAATGTGAAACTTTAACACCAAACTCAAACGAACAAAGTTTAATAAAATGAAAAAGAAAACAGCTGCACATTTTAATATTACAGCACATTATGAGACTAATGCTGTAACAAAGGATATTTAACAAGTAATAAAATGAAAAAAGTATAAAATAGAAAAAAAAATAGGAATAAAAAAGAGATTGAAACCAAAATCCCGTAAATTAAGATTTAATTAAAAGTCTGTGTCTACATATTCCTCCGTGTCTCCAGGTAGTGGTATACAGGGTTGCACAGCTGAACAAATGAAGCTAAAGAAAACCACTGTAATGTGATATTTAAGCAGCATTTGATGCTACACGCATGAACCAAAGTATAAATTGCACTTTATATTAAATGAGCACACATCTCAACAGTACATTAATATTCCACTATACATATATATCAAACTACATTCAATGTAAAGAGACAGAGAGAGAAAAAACTGGTGAAAAAAAGGCTGTCATGAAGATTCGGTGTCATTGTCGTTGACACACTAAAGTTAGCCAAAGCCGATGTACTCTGCTGATGTAAGGCCTATAAATTGAAGTAAATGCACAGTAAGTACACACTGACATGCAAATGCCCTCTTAATTCCCATCAGTATTACATTTGCAGATGTGTTTTTATCACGCTTTATCATGAGCTTTAAGTTCCTTCATATCAACACAAAACTGGCATCAGAAACTAAAAAGGAATGCTGCTCAAACCCAACAAAATGCCTTCATTTACAAAAAAAACATAGAAAAATAAATAATGCACCACTTAGAATAACGAAACAAATACACAATTCAATGTAAAAAAAAAAAAAAGAAGAAAAATAGTACTTCAGAAACATAAACCTCCCACAGCTGTAAAGAAATCTGTTTTGTTTGTTTTTTTAGCTTGAGCTGTTGGTAAGATTAAAATAAAATAAAAAAACACTGATTTGTACAGATGCATCCACTTTTTATCGAGATGAGATAAACAGTTAAACAGAAACTCTAAAATCTGCCTGTTGTTACCACGTCTGCTCTTACATTAAAGATCTGACCGTACGATGCTTTGCAAAGGTTGTTACGCCTCTTGAACTCTTTCACATCCAGCCATGTTACAACAGCAAACTTCAATATATTGGAAATATAAATCACCTGTGACATGGATATATGATGTATGATATTCTGTATTTATATTTCCAGATAAAAAAAAAGAAAAGTGTAGCATGCATATGTATCTATGGAAAACCCCTGAAGCAAAACCAGTGCAGCAAAATGCCAACAAAAGCCACCTGGTAATCTGATCTCAGTGTAAGTTCAGCCGATCTGTGAAGGGCTAAAAAGTTCAGTGAAGAACTTTAGTGAACAAACAGCTTCATGACGACACAAAAAAATAAATGCACCGGAAAGCTATTTTTCTTTAGAGTTTCTTTGTATGATTCATTTTGAAAACATTATTCCATGTGTAAGGTTTTATCTTCTGAAAATCAGTAGCCACAGATCTAGCGGCACAAACTACACTGCAAAAACAATCTAGAAACAAGTACAAAAAATCTTAAATTGGGTGTATTTACTCTTAATTTGTGTAGTTTAATAAGATGATTTGCCAAAGGAATGGGTATTTTTACTCTTAAAATAAGATAATTAGATAATATGCACTTAAAGTCAGACAATGCTATAGTTTTTTTCTTATTTTAAATGTAAATTGTCTTTTTTCATTGGCAAAGGAGTTCCTCTGTGCAGTTTGTTAGAATTCAAAGCTGCTCATGTCAGATGAGCCTAAAGATAGCGTTTTTCTTTCCTACATGCAAAATTATATATGAAGTAAATGAAACACCAAACACATCGTGGTCAGTGTAAAAAAGTTGGTGGCAGCATTGTATTATGGGATGGCTATTAAGCAAGGTGAGGGATGAGGTCAGTATCAAGGTGGATAAAAGTAAACACAAGGCAATTCTGAAAGTAAAACTAGCATTAAACTATTTTCGATAAGTGCATTTATATATATATATATATATATATATATATGTGTGTGTGTGTGTATGTTCTCACATGTTCTTCGTCCAATTTGACTGAGCTTTAGTTGCTTTTAAGTAAAAAAAAAAAATAGTCACAAGACAGGGTTCCAATCTAGGATGCAAAACACATGATAAAAAAACCCATTTACCTTCAACTTCATGATTATAAGCTACTTTGTGCTCGACAAACACAGCAAATTAGAAGAAAATCTATCGAGGGCTTTGGTTGTAACATCTCAAAATGTGATATAGGCCAAGGGCTTTTGACACTTTTGCAGTACACTTTGTAGGAAAAAAAAAAAAACAGTATAACCTTGCATAGCACCCATGATGTCATTATAACCAATTCTACTGTTTGAACTTTGAAAAGCTTAACGGACTTGTGTAAAAAAATAAATCTAAATCTAAACTTCCAGCTATTTTTGCTCCATGTTTATTAGGAATGTGATACAACTGGCCAGACTGATGTCGGTGGAGGATTGTTAATATCCTGTAAGTGAACAGATGTTTTCACTGGATACTTAAGACAATACACAAGATGTAGGAAGAAAGAAGCTTGGATCTGACTGTTATGTTTACATTAAAGTTTTTTTTTCTAATTTTAGGCCCAATACACAGTGGGATTATTTAAAGCTGATTTAAACAGCTTTTTGATATTAAAAACATAAGTTTATTTTAAACCTACATTTCCTAAATGGTGTTCATGCAGCAAACTCAGCTTTACTGTACACATAATCCCTTACAAGTTCAGCATATCCACAAGCTCCTGTTCAAAAGCAAGAGTAACTTATCTTCCTTTAGAGTTTGAATTACGGGACAAAAGATGTACCCTGGATGACCTTTCAACTGAATTACTGTTTGGGTTATTAAGCCTCACAAGTAAAACCCAAACTCTAGAAAAGTGAGACTTATTTCCATCCTCTGCTGCAATCTTTTATACAAGCACTGTGCAGCTTTAGTGAATAAATTGATGCCATCTTGCTTTTAAATGCGGTGGGGTTATTCTTGGTGAAGACAAAACAAATCAAAACAAAAACAGTGCGCAAAGTCTTTCCCAAATTAAACACCCTCTAAACACCATTCAAATGGTTTAAAATAAGGTATAAATTCTCTTGATAAAGGAATGAATCAAAGCTCGAGGCACCAAAGGCAATTATAGTGTACAGAAAATACAAACGATGTGTAAAAAAAAAAATAGTAAAATAAGAAAAAATTAATAAAGAAAAACATCAAAACTGCACCGTATCAAGGTTCCCAATAGATCTCAGAGGGAGAATGATGAGTGACTCTCCTGCAGAATCCATTTCCATTCCAATCGTGCTATCCAGGCTCCAGTCCAAACTGTATGAGACTGATTGGTTTTCCTTCGAGTGCAGAGACCCTTGTCAAGCTCTCTGATCTTGTCCAGAGATGCGCGACCCCTGAGGAGGCACCGAACTGACGATGCCGAGCCCCGTGAGTGCAACGGCAAAAGCCTGCAGAGACTGTTCGCTCTACAGGCCTCACCACAATAAAGCAACAATTACTGACACCTTTTATATGAGGGGGGAGGAGGGTACTCAGGCAACAAGCCATGGTGTGACTCCCTTAAGAAGATTAAAGGAAAAAAACAGTTTAAATTTCAGAGCTTTGGGCCTTCTGATTAGTTTTTTTTTTCCATACATAAATTTCAAAGCAATCAAATAACTGACATTTATGTACATTACATTTAAATATAGAACACTACTCATGCTTTTTTTTAAGGGATGTGTGGGGAAGCAATGTTCAGTCAGCTCAGTGCAGTCTTTTTTTTTCTCCCTTTTTATATATTTTTTAGTCTTTGAGCAAACGGTGCTGCATGAATAGTTGGTGAGCTCATGGAGACAAAACAGCACACGACACATAGCGTTTTGTGTTAAGAAGCCAGTCCAGATCCCATTTCCTCCACTTGTTCTCGTCTCACTCCTTCCAACCGTTAGGATCTGGCGGGACAGCCAGTGCCAGTCTGAGTCATGCAAAAAAACACAAAAAAACCCTAAAGACGTGAGTTCTGCCGGCAGCTGAGGATCTGAACTCCATCACGAAGCAGACGTGAGACAGCGAAACACACATGTGTTTTTGTTTCCACACAGCCATGTGAGTAGAAGCAGCTTACAGATGGTTATCTCTCTCTCTTTTTTTTGTATTGTTGCACACATAGACTTCTTTTCTTTTTGACTCTTTTTCCATTAAAAAACTATAAATACCATAAAAGAAGCATTATTTACAAACTCCATGCGTTTCAGGTTAGAGTGATCACTGCAAAAAAAGACACACAAAAACAGGTTGTTTCATCACTTTCAGTCATCCTTCAGTTTGAACACAATGAGATGTAGCACACAGCACATACAGTATGTGGTTTTATCCGATTTATCACAACTCCCATGCACAAAAAAACAACAAACAAACACAAAAAAAAATGAAAGAACATAGAACAAACAAAATTTAACGATTATATACCATATAATATTTTCTATACTTAGAAGATTAAACAAAATGATAAGTATCAAAATCTGCTGTGGTATCAAGTTTAGTTAATTTTGTTTGCATTGAGGAAATTAACTGCATGGGATTATCTCACCTTCTGCCAGCAGCCAGGCATGGGTAATCCATCTGGACCCTGTTTATAGAAGAGTAATAATTAGAACTGAAACAAGGATTTAACAAGTCAACTGTGACATACATGATTAGTAAATTAAACTGTAAGCCACCCTTTAAACATGTCAAAAAATAATAATTTAAAAGAAATACTATATTAAACACAGATCTATGAAATGTACTTCTGTTGAATAGACATGCAGCTTTAATAAAATGATTGGAAATAATTTCTTAGGTTAAACTGATTCCAGTGTAATGGTTTTAGTTGGTTGGCTTATAATTGTGTTTTCAAGTCTCTCATATTATTTGAAAGAAAAAAAAAAGAAAAGCTTAAATTAATCCTTAATAGTTTTCTCCTTTTTGATTACAAGTAATTAGGCTTTCTTGAGACATAATTATGTTAGTTAAAACAACAGTTCTTTATTTTTAAAGAAATGATTTTTTTTAAATATTTGGACTTTGGATGCTTTTTTAATTAGCTTCTAGTCCCACAATTCCAACAGTGGATTCTATTTTGGAATTCTGTATAAAGGGTATAATTTTAGCATTTTATTCTATTTTATTATATAGTGTTTTCAGTCATATTTTTATGTTTCTGATCCACTTACAGTTTAAAAATCAAAGCATTTAGGAGAAACAATTTTTGTTGGAGTATTTAACCTTAAAACAGGAAATATGTTATGAGGTTTAAGCCCTAAGATTACTTATTCAGGCGATATATTTGCACAGTACTTGGTCCCTTTATATTTCTCTGTCCTTTACATTTTGCATAAATGCTGACAGTTTAAGGTTTTATCATGAAACTGATGAGAACCACAAGCGGAAAGGATTGTTAGTGTAAAAATTGTAGTTCTAATTGGTATGGTTCTACTTTTGGAACTAGAGAAAAATCTGCCAAAGTCCAAATAAAAACTTTTGAAAACTTGCAGAAAGCTTATAGAACATCTGACAAAGACACTTTGAAATAATTTCAGGAAGTCTAAATGTTTTGAAGTGAAGGTTAATGAAATTAAGGATCGTTCCTAAAGTTTGTATTTTTGAAGGTCATTGAAGGCTTAATTGAATCTATATACGGCTATTAATCAAAAGTCAAGAAAAATGGCAACATACTATTACAAAAAGCATTTGCTCACCCATCAAAATGAATGAAATTAGGTTTTCCAACCACTTCCACAGTCATAGGTTTATAAAATCAACACCTAGGTAAGCAGGCTTTACTATCGTTTGGATATAATGGATTGTTCTCAGGAGCTCAGTGGAATCCAGTGTTGAACTATGATAGGAGTAGCCTCGTGAGACCGTCCTGATCTCGTGAGCTTTCAAGATTTCACTCGCTAATCAGTCTGGAGACTCTCCGTTAAAGAAAATTTGGAGCCGTTCACCAAACGAACGTCCAATCAGCGTTGGCTTTGAGGCGGGTTGAGGTGTGACGCAATGAGAAGCGCGACAGTTCAGTCTAAAGAACATGGCGGCTTCAGCCGATGAAACTAGCGTTAGCGTGGCTATCGAGCAAGTTTTATCGGAATTACAGAGTATTTCTTCCCTGAAAGAAGAGCAAAACACTGCTCTGGAGGCTTTTCTCAGAGGAAAAGATGTTTTTGCTCTTCTCCCGACTGGTTTCGGCAAGAGTTTAATCTATCAATTGGCTCCTCTTCGTCGTCGCTCTGTTACGTCATATGCTTCGTTAATCTGATTGATTTATTTGGCCCTTCTATCACCAACATAGGCCAATCTGCTAACCAGTATTTTCGCCCCTTCCCAAAATTACTTCTACGGAAGGTTTCCAGATGGATATGCGGAGCAAATCCATCTGGCGGAGTCAGGTTATGATAGGATGACATCAGTGCAACAAATCCACTCATGAAATTTCCTTCCTGCTAAATATTCCACAGTCTGCTGTCAGCTCTATCATGAGAAAATGGAAGCGTTTAGGAAGGAGAGCAGCTCAGCCAGGCATTGGTAGACTGACAGAGTGGAGTCAGTGGAAGCTGAAGCTCCAAGTATGAAGAGGTCACCAACTTTCTGCAGAGCCAATCACTGCACACCTGCAGACTTCATGAGGCCCTCGGATTAGCTTAAGAACGTGGAAATGGTTTCCATGTTTGAGCATCTGCATCCCAGCCATGAGTCACCAAGTGCAATGAGTCAGATGCAGTGGTATAGAGCATCCTGCCACTGGACTCTCTGGAGTGACGTATCGTGCTTATCCATTTGAAAATCTGATGGATGAGCCAGGTTTTGGCAGTTGCCAGGAGAGCCATACTTGCCTGGATGCATTGGTGTGGGGTTGTGTATGGCGTCAGGATTCTGCCATAAGTCAACAAACGCAATAAATACTCCTACAAGCAGCTTTACTTCATACAGATCCTCATAAACCACTCCTCATGCACATGTTTAACATGTCACATACACAAAAAGAGTCCTACAGGGCCCCGTTATATCACACAAGTGCTTGTTCCTTCTCTGCGAGCGTGAGGTTTGATTTTCACAGGCGTATCCTCCCTCCTCCTCGAGTGTGGGCTTGTTTGTGTGCGCTCATGTCAACTTTTATCACTTTGAAGGTGTTACCCACCAGGCAAGGCAACCTACCTGTGATTGGCTTCTTTTCAGGAAATCCTGCCTCTTGAGACTGCACTCTAGCAAAGCAACATCATTTAACGTGCATGTTAAACATGCACCCGAGTAGTAGTCTATGAGAGTCTGTATGAAGTAAAGCTGCTTATTGGAGTATTCATTGCGTTTGTGGACTCATGGTCGAATCCTGATTCCAAAGTTGTCTTTCATGAGCCGGGTTTGGTCCCTTAGCTCCAGTGAAAGGAACTTTCTTCAGCTTAACTTCGGTAAATGAAGCGCCTAACTTTGAGGGAACAGTTTGGACATGGCCCCCTCCTCTTCCACCATGATTGTGGACCAGAGCACAAAGCAATGTCCATAAAGTCATGGATGGTAGAGTCCTGACCTCAACCCAATAAAAAAACATATGGGATGAATTAAAGCAGAGACTGAGAGCCAGGCCTTCTTGTCCAACATCAGTGTGTGACCTCACAAATGAGCTTCTGGAAGAATGGTCAACAATTCCTATAAACACACCCCTAAACCTTATGGACGGCCTTCTCAGAATATCTGAAGCTGTTCTAGCTATAAAAGGATTGGTAGCATCATAGTGAACCCCTATGGCTTAGTAATAGGAAGATATTTAAGCCAAACGTGAATCAAGACAGGTGAGCAAATGCTTTTGGCAATATAGTGTAACCAGCATCCTGCATAGTCAAGTACAAGCTTTAAGACATGCATTCTCAAAAATGTCCCTATGAAAAACACTTACTCATTGTTACATGAAATTCCACTCATAGAAGTACTAGCATATGGATATAAAGGGCCATTTGTACATTAAATCATATTATTTCTAATTATCTGTTCACATTAAACTTTCACCTGAATTCTGACTGTTAGTCTGAAAATATAATAAAATTCACTCTAGCAATAGAAAAAAAAAAAAAACTCATACATGCATAAAATACATAGAAATATGTCGCTCATACTCATCAATGTGATTTTGCTGTTGGATATTTTTCATAGTTGGACTAGTTTAAAAACAGCAGTAAGCTGAAAATCTAATCTAGAGACACATAAAAATGTAGATTTTTTTTAAATAAAAATTATAGAATTTTAATTTAATGAAGATGTATTCAGAGACCTCCGAATGCTTTCTACCCTGTAGCCCATTAAAACTGTATGTGCACATAGAATGTAGATTGCCTCGCAAAAGTATTCTCCTTTTTTGTATTTTGTCTCATTAGAAGTGTAGATCTCAGTGTATTTTATCGTTTTTTTATAAGATAAAGATACAGCTTGTCACTTCTTTTTTGTTATCAATAAAATTGGAAAAGTAATAAACACATTTTGAGGAAATTAAATCTAATTTTAGAAATACAACTATAATTCTTTTGTGTGTTTTATTCTCTACTATATTTGCAGATCAAGAAAGGGGCATTTGGGTCAGTTGATCTTACACTCCAGTTTCAATTCTCTTTTAGACTTTTACAGATATTAAGAAGGCCTGCTAAAGGCTTTTTTTTCTCCGATAATCATGTCTCACAGATGATGATGGAGTCTGGAAAGTAATGTTTGAATAACTTTCTACCTCACAACGGTGTATTGGTAAATTTCATAAAACCTTAATAAAATACACTGAGGTTTTGTTGTTGACAAAATATAAAAGGACAAAAAAATTGAGGCAATGCATGTGAATTTGCCAATACCATAGTCGTAGTCATTCAAAGGATTCCTTCTGCTACATGTATATCAGTGAAACAAACAGGATGCAGTGGTGACCAACTTTGTTTTATTTTATTTTAATGAAATGGTCTGGCCCAATTGGTACAAGAAGAGGAGGGGATAAGAGCGTTAACGGATTGAGGAAGGGACCCATGCGCTTGCAGCATGGCTAACTAACAGTATTAAGAGGTTTGTTAGCATCAGGTTAAAAGGTAACCAGTTAAAGGAGGGCTCAATAGGCTGAAAAATTTATTTTTAGCCTTATGTTCTAGTTGTAATAAAAGGGGAGACAGGAATCAGTTAAAGGGATATACCTAATGAATAGAGGATTACTGGTTAATTCTATATATTTCACATTTTATCTAAAAAGAGGCTGCTTGCAGTTAAGATATTAGTATTTGTGTTTGTCTATCAATGGAAAATGAATCTGTGATTAGATAAAGTGACCATGCTTTTCAACTTCTCACTTCATGCATAAGTGTATTTAGGTATTGTTGATGGGCTAAAGGTGAGTCGCATGCACAGGTAGGAGGTTTAGGAAAAAGAGAAATACTGTACCAATTGGCACGGGGCATCCAGCCCATCCAGACCTGGCTGCCCTGGTTCCCCCTTTTCACCCTTAAATCCCCGGAAACCCTGTTTGCAAAGATGACCTAGGAGTGTTACTGGGAGAGAGGTGGACGACCCTTTACCCCCTGCTTTGGTCGGTCTTAACAGACTCGTAGGGAGTGTGAAGGAGGAGCTGCCCTGTGAGCTTTTCTTACTCCACATTCAGGCCCTGCTGCATAGATTTGTGATTTAACAGCAAGTTTAATACTTAATACTACAATATTTCAAGCGCTTTTGACGATTTCCTGATAATAAAAGAGAGAGGTTGGGAGTCAGTGGACTCAAAGAGAGCTCCATCCTTGTTTAGAGCAACCGCTCCACAGAGCTGGTAGAAAAACTCCAGCTCACAGTTGAGACATACCAATGGGCAGGGTGCATCTAATCCTGGGGCACCCTGTTCTCCTTTCTCGCCCTTAGGCCCTTTTTTGCCCTTCTTTCCCTTCTCCCCCTGCGGATACAAGGGTTCGGTCAGGTTAAATTCATTTTTTTCAACAATTATGACTGTAGCGAGGAGAGATTAAAGAGGGAAGTCTATGACCCAAGGAAGAGTAAATGCAGAAGGTCAGATAAGTTAGGTAGGAGGGGATACAAGGCAGAATCAGATCTTTTTTTTCAAGGACGGGATACAAAAAGCAGGGAACGAGGTAGAATGGGAAACTTTTTCAAAAGTGGTGTCAAGGGCACAAAGGATGAGAAAGACTAGCAGGGAGAAAACCACCAGAAAATAAACAAACACACAGGAAAAGTCCAAACTCTAACACTTAAGAATTAAATCGCACACATTTCTACATAAACAATAGGAGTCAGCATCCATGCAAACATTTCAGAGAAGCATATTAACATATGTAAAATTTCTAATCTTTAAAGTGCTTCAAATCATCATTCTAAAATTGACACACACTCTTTACTGACATCCTAAATAATATCGTATGGATGTGTTTCAGAAGCGTGACGTCATGACGATTCTACTTATGGCCGCCATATTGAGTACCAAACGCTTAGCTTAGCTCTGTGGCGCTTTCCTTCTGACCAGAATGGATCATGCTAATTTAAATCCCTGTGAGAATAAAGGAGACACAGAGAAAATCGGTATTGGATACGATCCATGCAACCTTTTTAACACCTTTTCTTCAACAGACAAGCTTCCAGATTTTTCCTTTAACAACTTGACTGTTAGAATGTTAAAAACCGACTGATAAACATCGGATTAATTAAGGAGAGGCACTGGAAGTTACAACATGGTTGCAGAGCAATGGACCAGATCTTCTCCCTTGGCTTGCACTTTCTAAACGGATTATTTGAGCTTGATTGTTTAATTCATATGTGCTGTATTGAGACTTGAGAGGGATTGCCACCTCATAGCATTCTGTAGAATAGGGTCTGTGGAAGTATGGAGTGCCTGAAATGATTTTAAAGGCCTCTTTATCATGTTTTTATAAAAGAGACAAAAGATTAAATACAATGATGCACATTTTCTGTCCAATTTTACACAGACCTTTGAAGAAATGTACCTTGTTGCCCTCTCTAGATAATCATTTACTACACCAGACATTACTGACTGAGTAAAACCAGGCATCCCCAAAGTCTGTCCTTGAGGGCCGCTGTCCTGCAGGTTTTAGAGGTTTCTCTACTTTAGCACAGCTGATTCTGATGATTGCAGTTCAGCAAAAGCCTGTTAATCAACTATCAATGTAAATCCCCTGTGCTGGAGCAGGGAAACTACTAAAACCTGCAGGACAGCGGCCCTCGAGGACCGACTTTGGGGATGCCTGGAATAAAACTCTAACAACCGATGCATCCTTAGTGCATCTTTAAACTGAACATCATCACAGCTTCTCTATGAATGCACCAATTTAGAACTCAAACGATTACTCTAATCTGACAAATCGAGTCATTCTTACGTCACAAATGTCTATGATGAGTGTATGTCAAATTTTTATTACTGATGTTGAGAACCTGAAAGAGATATTCTATGTTAGAAAACAGGAAGCAAAATTCATATGACAGGGAAACATGATACAGCGTCTTAAAGGCATACAGCATCCAAAAAAATATACCATATCTAAATTACAGAGAAAAAAAATGCAAAAAACAAGGAAAGAAAGCATCGCAAACAGGCTTCAAAAATGAGGGAAGTGAAATGGTCATGCATGGAAAACAAGACATTCATGGGACTGAAGAGCCTGCTGTCAATGGACATGTTTGGATTTATATATGATCTCTCTTTTTGATGACTGAAAATGAAGTCAAATTTGAAACGATGAGATGGTAAAATTATTGAAAGGGGTAAAAAAAAAAACAGGTTTGAGAGGATTTTGGGCAGCTTAATGTTTCTGTAAAAAAAAAAACAGCAAAAAAATTAAATTTATTACGATTATACAGGTAAATAATGAAAATAAGGACATATTTTTTTTTCATTAACTGTATACAGAAACAGTTTACCTCAAACGAGGAGATGAATTAAGAAAACTGCTAATAGTTTTAGCAGTGTTGTACTGTAAACCTACTTTCTGCAACATAAAGACTGTCACTGTCCATTGACATCAGTCCTATCCCGTTAGGAGTATAAATAAGCCATTACACAATATCTACATCTACCTTTTCTCCTCTCTCCCCATCGTCGCCTTTATCTCCTTTTAATCCAGGTAACCCCTGTAAAGGTACAACTTTACTTAAGCACTCTGTCTTAACTGCCAGATTAGGGTTTTTTTTTTTCATACACACAAAGCCATCCAGGTCCGGATCAAACAAGATATAAAAGGTAATGAATTACTATTGTGCATTTATTTATATCCAAAAATGAAAATTAAGAGGAGGCAAAGAGCTGTCTAAAAGAAAAAATATTTTTAGTACACCATTGGGTTTAAGTTATGCCAGGAGACCCGTTCTAGTGAACGATATCAGCATCTTAAAAAAACAGCTCTACTGTGTAATGTTTTTTCCTCATGGATCTCCAACCAACAACTTTTTAAATGTTGAGGTGATATCCTAGAGGACTTTGATTGAAAAGTGGAAATCACATTTCTCCAGTAATTATTTTTCCAACAATAAAATGTTGGCTAATTTGAATCAAATTCATAGCTCCCTCCTCCCATATAAAGAAAAGGATGATGGAGCAGCAGTTGAGTTTCACAGCTCAGGATATAAACCCCTGGATAGTTCTTAAAAACACAAGTTTAAGATCCCTCCTATAAACTCAAAATGACTTACGAGTAAAATATTGGGATAAAATGGCAAATATGAGCTTTAGGTAGTAAAACTGCTAAATCAAACTTGCTAAAATCAAGTACTAAAAGAACAGCAATTTCTAAAGTAGAGATTTATGGCAACAATCAATAAGCAGATCATAAATAACCACTGCTTTTAGGTCAATATGCAAAGTAGTTTAAAACCCTACTTTTATAAACTCCTGTAGAAGCTAGATGTGCTTCAGCACTAGAATGGATTAATGCATAAACAGAGGCATTAAGAAGATTTTGGTTTGACTTTTTTTTTTTTTATTCCTTTCCGTAAACATATTTTTGATCATCAGTTAACTCATATGCCAGAAAAAGTCAAATTAACTTACATCCAAACCTGGTGTTCCAGCTGCTCCCTGGAGAGAAAAAAATAAAATAAATTAATAAATAATTCCCAAATACTTGACTATCACAAATTACAATTTACACAACATTTTTCTATCGATATTGTGTAAAATCACTGCAAAAAGTATCTGCATGGAGTTATTCTGAACCGATAATAACACCTGTCAAACTGTTGAATTACTTAGTATTAAACGGTACAATCTAATATCCTATGTGTCCTATATGACATCCTTTTTATCGAACAACAACAAACATGTTTCTCAAAGTTTGCAATGTCGGAAAATACTAGTAATATTACAATGTAATACAAATGCTCGTAAATAAAACAGAAAAAATCAAATTAGTTCCCTTTTTATATAGTTACATTACCTTGAAAAGTCTGTATTGATTTATTTTCTTATACTTTAAATTACTGCACAATCTGTTCATTATTTATGCTCACGTTGACATTTGTACCTAGATATCTAGAATAGGATACTGTTGTAAGACTTACTGGTAGTCCATAGGGCCCTCGTGGTCCTGGCTCACCTGGTGCACCTTTCTCACCCTGTTATAATGAAGTCTAGGTTAATTACCCTTACATTTAAACAGCTGCCTAATCCCATTGTTAAAATGAATTGAATGTCAGATGTAAGAAAAGAATGGAGTCTTAGCCTTACAATGTCCCCCTTTGGTCCGGCCGGACCAGCTGGACCCGGGGGCCCGTCTGTGCCCTGCAGAAAGTAGTGTATTGAGGGTAAGTTTGCATTTTTAGGTTACATATGAGACATTCTGCAAGAAATAATACGTGAAAATAGGTTTAACTTGACAGTATTCATATAGGATCTTAGTTACGACCAGCACACAGAGCTTGTAGACGTGCATTGGCCACAAAGGACGCTTACAACACTGCTGACACAGTTAATGTATGAGTGTGTGTTAATGCGACACAGGACAAAACAAGAGTCTCAAAATGTTTTGTGTAGCAGTTTTCTGTGCCTTAATTTAACTTGGAAGATTGATAACATAAAAAGTGTATAAAAAAAAATAGCTTAAATTATTTGCATTTTGGAACAATGTGCAAATAATATCGTAACGATAAAGAACTTCATGGAGGGAGAGAGAAAAAAAGACTGAGACAGATGCTTGGTGGTGAAGCCCCTTGAACACATGACACTCACCCTAATTCCAGGCTTGCCGTCCAAGCCGGAGGCTCCCTGTGAGGTTATGGAGGTATGAGTGACATGAACAAGGCGGGATTAGTACCAGATGAACACTGTTATTAGGACAGGTTGATGGCAGGGTTCACAACAACTAAATCAAAGGGAGCTTTGGCTAAGGTAGTCAGTCCAGGCAAATGAAAATGAAGACAGAACATGGACAAAGGCACTTTGGACACACACAAACTAACGTAAGCAAACATTCCTATGTGCACCTTATCTTGAAAACAAAATTAAACCTAAATTCTGACAAAGAAGCCAAAATCTTCCAACTGGCTCTGTATTGCTCAACTTACAGGGAGACCCAGTGGTCCACGGTCTCCTTTGTGTCCTGTTTCTCCTCTCATGCCCTTCAGTCCATGCAAACCGGGTTCACCCTGCAAAACATAGAAGAAAAATATGATTATGCACAGCTGACTACCAATCTTTGCAAATAACTACTGTGTTTTGAACATCTTTTCATTGTCAAATAGAAGAAATAAATGTATTTTAATTTGATGGATCAGCACAAAGTACATAACTGTTAAGTGAACTGATGTTTTTCCTTTAAATACAAATCTGAAGGTAGGCATAAATCTGCATACAATCCCCTTTACTTCAATAGATTGATAGATTTCAGTGTAAACTAGCCTTAAGAAGTCACCTAGTTCAACAAATAAAAACTAAACCAGAATAGAAGATATTTCAACTTTATTGTCGATGAACTCTGTGCATTTAACCCATCCCCTTGGGGAGCAGTGGGCTGTGGGGTGAGTCTGTGGGAGTGGGGCTCGAACTCGGAACCGCAGGAGTCCGAGGGCAATACCCTAACCACTAGGCCGCCACTCCCCTTTAAACTAAACTAGATATCAAAAAGTAAAAACAAATGGATAGTAAAATAGAATTTAAAACCAGAAATTAAAAAAACTAATGACAATTTCAAAACTATTTAAACCTTGTCTCTTAAGACAGGATTACAATGGTAATTTAAGGCAGATGAAGAAATCTATCATCAGAAATGCAGTTTTCTTTATGAAATAGTGGCAAAAAGGGTATTTTATGAAAAATACAAGATGTCTCATTTAAGGTTTGCAGAATTTACAGGTGGAACATCAACTTCCAATTCCCTAGCCCTAAAAGATTGTTGATGAAGTGAAATTGTTTATATAACATATGACCCAAGGGGAATAATACATCACACAAAAAATAAATACCGTATTTTCACGACCATAAGGCGCACCGGACTAAAAGGCGCAGTCTCAGTTATGTGTGCCATTTCTGTATTTAACACACACATAAGGCGCACCGGACTATAGGGCGCGTTTTTTATATACAGGTACATGTCCTCTCAGGTGGATTTTCCCACTTAAAAACATATTAAAACTACTTTATTCCCACTGATCACAGCAAATAAAGCTGCAAGGTGTATTTATTACAAAGTATTATTCAAACCTGGGAACCGGCATGCTGATGACACAGGGCTGTGATTACTCCTCTGATACAGTTTATTGAGGCATAAATTAACTTAAAACATAGGCAGGATAATAATCTGGATGAACTGACTGCAATGATTAAATTTTCAGGTGGACTTTCTCACTTAAAAAGATTTAGATTATTTAGATGAAAAAACACCTGCGGAGGTGAGCCCGTATGCCCCGCGGCCCAGAGGCTGCTGTTGAATTAAGTTTTCAGGTAGAAAAATAGAGCGGGAGCAAAACTGAGTATGATTGTGCTTTATTAATGTATTTATTACAGAGTATTAATCAAACCCCTCAAAGTCCTCATCCTCTGTTTCTGAATTAAACAGCTGCGCTAAATCCGACATGCCAGTTTCCCCTTCTTCTTCGTTTATTGACGCATAAATTAACTTAAAACATAGGCAGGATAATAATCTGGATGAACTGACTGCAATGATTAAATTTTCAGGTGGGCTTTATCACTTAAAAAGATTTAGATTATTTAGATGAAAAAACACCTGCGGAGGTGAGCCCGTATGCCCCGCGGCCCATAGGCTGCTGTTGAATTAAGTTTTCAGGTAGAAAAATAGAGCGGGAGCAAAACTGAGTATGATTGTGCTTTATTAATGTATTTATTACAGAGTATTAATCAAACCCATCAAAGTCCTCATCCTCTGTTTCTGAATTAAACAGCTGCGCTAAATCCGACATGCCAGTTTCCCCTTCTTCTTCGTTTATTGACGCATAAATTAACTTAAAACATAGGCAGGATAATAATCTGGATGAACTGACTGCAATGATTAAGTTTTCAGGTGGGCTTTATCACTTAAAAAGATTTAGATTATTTAGATGAAAAAACACCTGCGGAGGTGAGCCCGTATGCCCCGCGGCCCATAGGCTGCTGTTGAATTAAGTTTTCAGGTAGAAAAATACAGCGGGAGCAAAACTGAGTAACTCCACGCATGGAGTTACATATTAACAGCGATTGTGAGGGGTGGAAAAAAAAAACACCTGGTCTCCTTACATTCAGCCACTCTTTCATCATCTCCTCAATGAGGTGGTCTCAAAAGTCGCAGTTACAACACACATAGGGCGCACCGCACCATAGGGCGCACCGCACATTTTGAGGGAAAAAAAAGACGTTTAAGTGCGCCTTATAGTCGTGAAAATACGGTATGTATCATTTTTCCTTTCACAATGTAGTTACGCATTACTTTTAAGGAGTTAAAATGTAAATGAAACAAAAAACTGAAAACTACTTCTTTCAATTAATACTGGCTTGTTTTTTTTTTTGTTGGTTTTCAAATTTCAAGTAAAAATTCTTGATTTAAAGAAACATAAATTAAATTGCACCAGTGCTATTCATATTTTTAACTTGTTTTTTTCAAGGCAAATTATACTTCTGATGCATAGCCTCTGCAAGTGACAAATCTGTCTCTGTGCGCGACCATGCCCCCCACGCAGAGGTTCTGCAACCGTCGTTGTACACCTCAAAAAAATCCTGACTACGCGTCGGATAGTCGCAAACCCGTGCAGATCTTAAGCGGAAGTGCAAAGACAAGAAGCAGCTGTGATTGGTCCTTGGTATGCCTTTCAGGCTGTCTGTGTGGTCGTCCTTCTCGATTCGGTACAGGGGCACGCCATTTTTAAAAACAGAGGAGTAATAACAGCAATGGATAACCGCGACGAAAGGTTGATCAAGGAGGTTCAGAAGTACAACCGCACATACCATGCCTCAGACACATAGTTTCGGAAAATAAACACTCCCGTTGCCGCCGCTGATGAAGTTCTCGCAAGTTCTAGGCTCCCCCTTGGCGGCAAACTGCTGTGCGTCCCTAGAAATTCCAGACCAACGTTGCGGAAGCATACCAGCAAAACTGGTTCGTGACCAGTTGCAAGCGACATTTGATGCGTGCGGTTGCAGAAGTATAATTAGCCCTTACAACTGTATTTATTAATTTTAAACACTTACCTTAGGGCCAGGGAAGCCGTGGGGTCCCTGAAAAACATTCAAAAAGGACACAGTAGCTTTATTTCACAGAGGACCTTGTTAGAACATGAATAATGACAGCCATTTATTGATTTAAGCAAATCTAACTAGTTTCCCTGGAAGCCTTGATGACATGAAAGGAAAAGGTGAACAAGTTCAACTCCTATTGCATTTCCACAAGGATGTCAGCAAGTATTATCGGGTTCTTTGTTGCATGTTATATTTAGTTTGATCTAAATAATATTATTTTAACCCAAATGCAAGTTCATACTGAGACGGCTTTTAAACTGATGAGCAAAAACTGATACCTCAGGGGGTTTTAACTCTTTCACAATAAAGTACAGTCACACCGTTAAAAGAAAAACAAATACTGAAAAAGAAGACACGGCAAAAAAAATAAATAAATAAAAATTCAACAAGTTCACCTTCCTCATTTCATGTCAACTCATTTAATTTCATTACAGAAAATACTATCGGTGTACAAAATACCCCAAAACTCACCATAGGTCCTGGGGGCCCGTGGGGTCCTGGTGGCCCTGGAGGTCCAGTTATCTAAACATTTTAATAGATTACACATCTTTACTGAAAGCAATGTTTTAACTTGACTTCATGTGAACACTAATTCCCTGCATAGCTGGTTAAGAATCGAATCTGAAATATTAAACCCATTGCTCTTTTTTATAAACATATGTTACTCACAGATGGACCTTGTGGACCGGGAAGTCCTGGATCTCCTTTATCTCCTTTAGCTCCATTAACTCCCTGTGAAAAACAAGAATTATGAGATTAACTGTGTGAAAATGTTGAATCGAGATACCTTAGGAGAAATCTTTGTCACTGTGATGGAGTGTGAGATTCTTACTGGTAAGCCAGGTAAACCAGTGCTTCCTTTCTCTCCTGAAGCCCCTGGCATTCCCATATCTCCTTTAGAGCCTTTATACCCCTGAGAAGTTAGACATGACCACAACATATATGAGATATTTGAATTTAGACTCCTCATTGGTGCCTTCTCTGGCAATGCATTGGGCATTAATTACTATTTGTAGCATATGGTTCAAGATTATGACCGAAACAAAGTTTTTCTTACTCTTTCCCCATCAAATCCAGGAAGACCAGGCAAACCGCGATCTCCCTGAGGCCACACAAAAGACAGCATTCTTATACAAATCTCATATATTCAATTAAATGTCTGGATCTTGCATAATACGTCCTGCACTAAAGCAAGTTTAAAAGGGAATCCTGTCCCAAAAGAGGGGAAAAAAGTTACCTTCAAGCCTTGTGGTCCCATAGGTCCAGGTGGCCCAGGGGGACCCTGTACATAAAGCAATGACAGAAAGGTAGAAACTGATGACAAGGTTGCTCAACTGATGGGAATCTGCAAGGCCTTGCAAATGTCTTCTCCCCCTTAGCTTTTTGGCATTTATTTCTACATTTCAACCTGGAATTCAAATGTTTCTAACTCTTATTTGATGTGAAAGATCTGTATAAAATCACCTAAGTTGATAAAGTGAAATGAGAAGTATATACCGTATATGGAAAAATAACAAAATAAACAACAAAAGACTGGGATGTTTATCCATCTCCAATCTAATGTCATTTGCATTAAGTGTAATATGATCTGTTAGTATAAAAACACATTTTCTTAACGGCCCAGAGGCTCTAACAGCATGAAGACCAAGGTGCTCTCCGAACAAGCCAGAAACAAAGTTAAGCAGCACAAGTTAGAATGGGGTTCCAACAAAATATCTTATTCTTTGAATTTCCTATAGGACATCATTGAATCTGTTAAAGATTCATTTCTTTTTTTATTTTCTGTTTTGCTAACATGGGGTGGCCAGAGTTGCTCCGGCATCATCTTATATGGTAACGCTGTAGGCTGTGAGAGAAGGCTGGATGCTTACTGGGGGCTTTGGGTGAGACACTCCCTAGCTGATTTTAGATCAAATGGGAAGGTGGGCAGAGGCTCTCTGCTTTTCAGAGGGTTCTCCACTGAATGATCGAGAAGTAAGGGCCTTATAAAGGGGAGATATTTCTCTGCAGTCTGTGCTTGTAGCAATGTTTTCGTTAACCATGATGGGAATAAATTATATTAATGCTTAAACATGTTTCCTTTTTTGTGAACACTATCTGAGGAATAATTCCTCAACGGTTAATAAAAGGGCCAAACCTATGAATGAAAAGTACCTATGACAAACTTGCTAATAGCTTCACTACAAAGTGAACATGAGCAGAGAGCAAAGATAACCCAGTTACCTAGCAGGGGCTGGGCTACTGGTCAGAGTTGAGCTAGATCTTTGGCAGTCTGCATTTTGCTAGACAAAGACCTAGAAGAAACATTGGACTGGTTTAAGGGGAAACGTTTAAATATGTTGGAATGACCAAGACAAGGTCAAGACCACAGTATAGTTAAGAACCTGTGATTAAATATAAGGATTGCTTTTTACAAGTAACAACCATCCAACATGCAATTTCTGGAGGACAAACAAACAATGGTAAGAGGGCAAGCTCAAACAGACTTATACAAAGCTACTTGCAGCTGAAGTTGTTGCAAAGGGTGACTTTACAAAGTTCTGGTGAATAGCCTTGCCTTTCTGTAAATCAAATTGACTTTCTTTACATCAAAATAAACAAAACGATAGATTTTTAAAGTACTAAGAATGTTTTGTAAATAAAATAATCAAGGAATCCTTTATAATTCCAGGCTGGGTGGTAATAAAAATACCAAAGGGGAGTGAAAACATTTACAAGGCATTCTATATTACCTTCATGTGATTTTATTTTTTACATCTTAGAACAATATTTAAATGGGAAAAAAACATGTAGAAAAGTTGACACACTGAAATGATTTAGACAAAGTAGAACTACAGTTGTATTTTACACCTTAATCACTGAAGTGAAAGACATGCGTAGATCAGAGGGAGTTATAAGGAAAAAAAAAAAAATTTGTGTGTTAGGATGTGAGTTCTGCAATACAATGTTACAGATAAGCCACACTCTGACATTTAAACAACACACAGTATATTCAATTGAAATTGAAAGCATTCATATGATTACCATAAAAAGTTAAAGATTAATAACTTCAAGGTAACACTTAAGAAGTACTTAAAAAGTACAATATATGAACTATATTTGACTGTAAAATATAATTCTGTTTTTGAATAGTTAGATGTTTTTATACAAAAAATGTACTTATAACAAATAGAATGAGCAGAAGCCCAAATATCTCTTCAAGTTCTGAGTCGTCTGCGTCATGGCAACCACAAAACAGGGTTAAATCGGAGGAAACCAGACTTTCGCTCTGTTTTTCTAAAAGTGTTATGACCCCTATCTAGAAATATTTTTCATCCTATCAGATCATATGAGCCTTAACAACCCAAATGTTAAGGTTGTTTAAGATTTATATTAAAAAGATTTCTAGGTTCTACAGAAAAAACTAACATTGGAGTCAAAAATGGGCACATCTACAAATATGGCAGATACTCCCAACAAAAATACTCATAGCTTTACTTAGCGGGGCAGTGATTAACCTGTCACTTGAAGCCGAAAGAAACAACAACGTGTAAAAGAGCGTGCGATGATGCATGAAAGCACAGACTGAAAGATTAAGGTTATTCCACCACATATAGACATCAGAATTTGTTCAAAAATTATTAATTCATTATTTCAATGCATATTTTGATAATATGAAAATTAACTGCTATTGTTTGGAGTCTAAAAACAAAATATTTTTCCTCTTTTGAACATTTGTCCTTAAATAGCAGTAGCCTACATATTCAAATGTTATAAGTTTATTTGACTCCCCCTCAACACACACAAAATGTTATTAATTCTTAATAAAATTAAAAGTGTTCATTTTACTCAAACACAGCTCTAATAAAACTAAATGCTTAAATGCACCAATGGTGGGTTTTCAGATATCCTAGCAGACAGACAATCAAATTTTTAATAATCTTCTTGAAGTTTAAGATAAATGACATTTCCTTTGAAATGTAAACAGATTTTTACGTAAAGCAAAAGATGATCAACTAAATAAAAAAAATTGAACTTCTAAAAACAAGTCCCTTGTTGTTACACTATTTTCTTTTAATATGCTGTGTTGTGAACACCCCACATTTTTTGAACTATTACTAAAATTGTTCATTCTTATACTAAGCTTTTTAAATTTACACTTACTTAAAATGTAGAGATTCAATCTAACATGGTGAATCTAGGATTTTTGTTAAGGCAAAAATGTAAAAAAAAAAGGACACAATTTCCAATGCAAAGAGATAATTAGTGTAATTTTAGGCCAAATTTGCAGAGACATTTCAAAGAAAATAAAAGGATTTTGGATCAAAATCTAAAATAGTTCTCTAATAATGTATTTTTAATGTTTTTTTTTATAACAACTAACGTGACAGGAGTAATCTTAAATGAATTGTAGGGAAAAAAAATTGTTGCATTGTTTATTATTTATATATTTTACCATATTGTTATATGTAAAGACTGTAACAGACAAAAACAACATTGACACGAGACGCTGTTTCATTCACAATACAGCAGGCATGTGGCTGGACGAGTGAGCATAAACACACATAGGGCAGTTCAAACCAGTGCTGGTACTGTGTTGGCTCCATGCTGGGACAAAGATGGATCATACGTGATGATGACACAACACACAGAATACACACAGCCTATTTACCGTGACTGTAATAGTGGTAATCCTCTGCAGTTGGCCAAAAGAGTGGGAACGAAAGGCAGGTGGAGATAAGATTACACAGGTCACTTATATGAACCTGTTGTTTCAGCACTTTTCTGCTGTTGCGCTTATGAAACTCTTAATTTATCTGATACATGAGGAAAGCCAAGTAAAAGAAAGTTTAAGTTTCAAAGAAAATAAAAAAAACTTGGTCTAAGTGATCCATGACTGAGGACTGAATGTTCTTTTATGAATCAGATCAAACCAAAAAGTCCTTTTCGAAAAGATACGACAGCAATAATGTGTAATGTGTAATTAAGTTAGGCAATAAATTGTCTGACCTGCAGGGCCTCTTCAATGTTTCCATTGTAGTCGATGATTTCAGTGGCTCCTCTGTCTCCTTTTTGCCCTGGAGGGCCCTGCAACACATCAAATCCACATATCAATAGAGGTGATTGTTGTCCCCCTGGTGGAGAGGGGTTTAAAAGCAGCTGAATCTCAAACCCAGACTTTGATTTAAAGCATGCAAAATTATTAAATCAACAAACTAGATCTTAAAGATAAGTGCTTACCCTTGGACCGCTAGATCCCAAATCCCCTTTATCTCCAGCGTCCCCCTTAAATACAAATAAATTAAGAAAATAAAATTGAAATGTTTGCAAAATTCATCAATTCATAATGTTATTATATACATTTGGTCATTAATTATTAACCAACTTTGTTAATATTATACCATTTTTTTCTCCTAATATGATTATATTTTAAAAGAAAAAGTATTAACTTATTAATTGAATCTGTCAAGTTTATAAGTTGAAGGTTTTAAAACTAGATTTTCTAATGTAGAAATTACCAACAGAGCCATCAACAATTATTCCTTCCTCCAGGTAAAGATGCATACAAAGCCTTATAATAGATATTTTAGTAACATAATATTATTACGGTATCGAGAAAATATTCCCATAAAATGGTAAATAGCCTGTACTTTGCACTGCATCCAGTCATTCACCCATTCCTGCACACTGATTGGGGCAAGCTGCAGAGTATCCCCAGCTGCTCTGGGGCTCACTGGCAGAAGCAGATAAAAACATTCAACAGATTTTTATAAACTTCCTATATCACCAATTTAACTGAAAAATTTTCTATGTTGATCTTTGCATATAAACTTTCCATCTCAATGGAAATAAAGGCGAAACAAAAGCTATTTCACAAAAAACTCATAGGAACAGGTATTCAAATCAACCACATAGTGGAGAAGACAGTATGGGGATGGTACCCACACAGAGGTATGGGGAGGAAAGATAAAAGCTTCTTAGCTTTATGTTACAGAACTGCAACAAAAGGTAGCATTTTAAAGGGACATTATGTAACTTTTTACTGACAAAATAGAATTAAAACAGCCTTTTTATTTAACCCTTTATGACTAAAACATTGTTTGATGAGCAGACTGACAACTCAGTAGTTGAGCGCTGATGCATCTGCAAGCCTGTATCCCACAGTTTGATGGATGTGACGTCATGCACATTCATGTTAAATAGGTTCTACCTAGCAAACATTGAAGCATCCTATTCAAGATGGATTTTGTGTATACTCAGAAGTGACCAACATTTAGCTCAACTCAGACACGAATGGCAACTTCACATAAGGTAAGAACAAGCTGCTGAGTAGAAGCTACAATAACAACACAGATGAGTGCTACAGTTCTTTGTTTTAGCCACAAGGGGCAGTATCATTAGTAAAATCATGTCTTCTGAGCCGGGCATACACTGTACGATTATTTTGCATACACTGTACGATTATTTTCGGGTGGATTATACAGTCGTGCAAGAACTTTTTGGGAGAGTTACAGCCTCATCGTGCGTCCTACGTCGTGTAACACGGGGCTATTAGCCTCACGTGACCACCTCCCAATCGGGAGTCGTAAGGTCGGAAAAAATCAAATATGTGTGAGGTGTTTGTGGACAATTCCTGCTGTTGAAGCAGAGCTTGAGTCTACGAGCCAATTTTCCAGAACCTCAAGCACTGCACATGTGCAAACAAAGGAGTTATTCCAGATTGATGAGTCCGACCAGCGCCATCTATCGGGTCTCAGTCCAACACGTGGTTTTTGGACGTGCAGTGTGATCAGGTGGATCGCATCAGAGCGTCAGCACGCCAGTTTGAGAACATGCATACTGTGAACTTTTAAACCCTGCAGCTTTGTCATACAGTTTGAGCTGTAGCTGTAGCTTGAGCTTGAGCTGTAGCTGCTTGCAACGACTGAAAATATTGCACAGTATATGCCCGGTTTTAAAGGCAGCTTCATTCTCCACAAGAGCCAAGACTTTGTTTCTCACTCCCGCAGCAAAAGACATTTTGTTCTCTCAGTCCTATCTGGACTCCTTTTGGACAGAACAGTCTGGCCAGAATTTTTTTCTCGCTGTGTGTCAAACTACTGTGTAGTTATTGGACAGGATTTAGACTTGCGTGTTTGGATGGGAGAGCAAAGCTAGCCTACATATCGGTTAAACTTAAGACTGTAGTTGCGCATTTCAGCTCTGTTAGGTTAAGCAAGCGAACATATCAATTCTACTCACATGCAGCATTTCATTTATAAATGATCAGGGATGGGCAGTGCTACCTCTGTAGCACCGCATCTCCCTTGGTGTGGTAATTCCAAATAGCACCAGAGCACACTGAGCTCTTATTTCTATCTGCTTCTCTACGTTAAGCTCTCCGACTGCTAAGTGCTCGCTCTGTGTGTCCTCTGCCCCGGCCTTCTCACAATCAAACTTCATTGTCATTGGCAGCTTAACTTCCCATGAAAAATAAATGTCTTTGGGCAAAAGAAATCCTTTCCTTTTGATGCATCTTCTAGATAAGAAAAAATATATTTTTTCTCATCGAGTATGCCAAGGATTTAAGATCACCAAGTGTCTTTGGATGTAATCGCCGTAAATTGAACCTAGTTGTTTTACAGGCATGCTAAAAAAAAATTAAAAGAATAAATTATAAACCTACAAGCATTTGGCATTGGACCAATTATTCAAGCACTTTGACTGAAACAGCTCATATGAGCTATGAGCTTTGAAGTAACAAACTTTGGGTAGGTTTGGCAGAAAACAAAAGATGAATACCTCACCTAAACTATTAAGTATGGTACAGGATCTATGAGGCATGTGTCTCTTGAGATATTGGAAGAATCTTGCTAAATGTGCCTTCACAAAGCCTTTCAAATACCAGCATATGTTAAAAATAGGAAAAAGTAAAAATGGCCTAATTTGTAAGCCTCAATTAACACAGAAACGGCTCATTAGACCAAAAAAAGAAAAAAAAAAAGAAAACAACCAAACAAATCAACCATCTTTCAAGGTGATCCAAGTTTCCAGACAAGAATCCTACAGAAACCTGCAGGGGAAGTTGTACAGGAGGTGGCAGGACTTTACATGATTTGCAGAGATTGTGCAAAGAGGAATGGTCAAACAGGCCTCTGTTGGTATGCTCTAAATTTGCCAAATGTGGCAGCAGACGAAGTGCTGCCCAACTGAAACAACTGGGTTGGACACATTATCAACCAACGGGTGCCCATAACGCTGTCAATCGTTATGTTAACAGCTGTTGTTTAATGTGGGACTTTTTTCTCTAGTGGCATTTGTTTGAAAACTCTTTTAACTAATTATTCTAAAGCTTATTACACATCTTTCCCAGAGGTACCAGTGATTGTGGAGGCGGTTCAGTATGACTTCTGCTCAGAAAATCAGAGAAAACATCTGTCCTTTGCTCACCTTTGACCCTTTAGGTCCAGGCATTCCAGACTCCCCTTGTGAACCCTGCAATAGGTAATTAAAAATGTTAAATTATACATTATATTTATTAAACAAATCTACTTGATGAATATAGTCTAAATTAACAATTCAAATATGTGTGGTCATCTTATGCATATTTCACTGTGAAGATATCATCAACCTCCCAGACTCCTCCTAAGGGACCAACATCACCAGCTCCAAAAACCCGCTCGGCTTTTAGAGTGGCGTTACTGCCGAGCAATAGAGAATGTGTTTATTTGAACACTCCCTAACTAAGCCTGGGTTTCACAATTGGGGCTCCTAACAGGATGTGTAGCAGAGTCATCTGAGTCCTCTAAGTTTAGACTGAGGCTTAAGCTACCAGTAGGGTCATTGGCAGACATAAACAAAATGGTAAACTCATTTAGAGTTGGCTTACTTAACTTCTACTCCTTAGAGATCCTTGTGCTTACCAATTATGATGGATAAAACAGCTTTCTTTGTTAAAAAAAAAACAGCCTTTCTAAATATCTTGATGTAATAGGATGAAGTAAGCTCTCTTCAACAGAAGGACTGTAGATGGCAGCAAAGTTACAAATATGAACCTTTATTTCAACACAGTTCATCTGGATGGGATTGAGCATGTGAGCTTAATTTCCCTAACCTTTGGCCCAGCAGGTCCGATTTCTCCACGTTCACCTTTTCCTGCTGGTCCATGGTCACCTTTCTCACCCTGTTCAGACAAAAAAAACATGCTGTTTAAAAGCCTTTCACTTGTAGCACAACAAAGCGTTGCTGAATGAGATTCTTGGTGTTTTTCTTGTCTGAAGAACAGCTTTAAACCAGGGGTGTTCAATTCCAGTCCTCAGGGGCCAGTACCCTGCATGATATGTTCTTACTCTCTCACAGCTGAATAAAATGGATAAATAACCTTACCTGTATGTCTTCCATGTCAGCAGAGATCTTCTAATGAACTGTTTATTTTATTAGGGCTTGTTGAAACAATAAAACCTTATAGTTTTAGAGCTCCTTTTAACCATGAGAAGCAACTTTCAAATGTATGGCATCTGGGTTGGTGAGATTTTGAATAAATGAAATCATTCAAATGTGAGTTGGATTCAATTAGTTTTATTTTCTGCAGCAAGTGTTGATTCTGCAGCTTAGATTCTCTCTAAAGGACAAGTGAACCCAAAGATCCGAAAGATGGCGATGCAAAACATTGTCTTTCTCTTTTAAATGACAACTACTACACAGTGCTGTGCAAAAAACCTATTTCTTGTGTTTTTCTGCTTTACTTTGCACAAAAAGCAGACAGATTTTCCTTAGATATTTTATAAAGTTATTCATCAGTGTTTCTCCTGGCCTATTCAAGGTCCTTCAATAGTCTGACTTAAAAAAAAACGAATAGATAGTTAAATTTTGTCATGCAAATGTAATTGAAAGCATACTGTGGACTTTGGGTTAAAAGTGTAAATGTAGAGAAGTGAAGGACATGATGTATGGTTGATTTAGGTTAATAGATTAACCTTATTTGAAATTTCTGTCAGCATAAAATGATATAACATCAATTAAAGGCCTGATACACGACTTCAGAGTTACATGATCCACTCCAGTTGGTGCGGTAAGTTTTTAGTTAATTGCTCAATTAGAACCACACTGTCGGTGCTAAAATGCTATTTTCCATCTTCTTGTTTCATCCTTTGGATATTTACTAGATCATGTTTTGTTATTAAGGAATTGCCCTAAAATACTAGCTAAAATTGCTTGTTTTGTTCTTGGTATATTAGTTGTATTCTTCTCAGGTCTTCTGGATAAACACCTTTAAGAATCAAGCTAAGCAGCTCAGGTGCTTTCAACTGCATAACTAAAAGTAGACCCAATGCTGAAAGATCCCTTGATATTTAAAACCTTTTTCTATAAGTCAGATTGAAGTGGTTCGATGAACAAAGAAACAGACCATTGAAAATGAAGAGCATTGGGAAGAAAAAAAGTACATAAGCAGTTAGTGTCTAATACAAGGACCTTTGAATAAAAGCGTAAGGTAGTAAGTTTTAAGGAATTAAAAGACAACTTCGGTAAGTAGCAAATGATACAATGGCAATATATCAAAACATGCAATGAAATTAAATAGCTTTCCTCTTATCTGATTATTTATAAAAAAGAAATGTTGTTTAGATTTAGGGGAAACTGCATCTGAGCAGCAGTGGGACCCTCAGAATTAATCAGAATTCCTTCACCTTAAAAATACATCCATCTAACCTAAAAATCTGTGTCTATATTAAACAATATCAATGGAAGGTGCTTTGCATCTACTACTTTCATTGCTGTTTAGCTGGAGAAACACCCATTACAGAAGAATACTACAGCGGCTGTGAGTACAACTGAAACATCTAGCTAGATTTAGCCAGTGCTCTCAGTGGAAATAAATAAGCACCCCTAAATGCAACACAAATATGTGACAGAAACATGGGTCATATTTTATACATATCTACGTATCAGCCAATGGTTTTTTTTTATGCAAAAAATTATCCTCCTCATCTTAATCCTTCTTTAAATGTGTTAACTTTCCTTCATGATAGGTAAACTGCAGTTATCTTGTGTGGAAGTATATGCACTACTCTTGGTGCAAAATTAGTTAAATGATTTTATTTACACTCTAATTTATTGCGGCTGTTTTCAAAACATTAATTTTGATAAGTTATTTCAACTCAACTCAAACTTTATTTATAAAGCACATTTAAAACAACCGGGGTTGACCAAAGTGCTGTACAGGAATCACAGTTAAGGAACATAAGATTAAAAACTGAAGGCTAAAATACATAAACAAAAATATAAAATATAAAAAAGAATAGGATAAATGTTTCAATTAAAATAAATTTGAAAATAAACTACAATTTAAAATAGAATTTTGCCAATTTATTTGGTAAATAAAGAGAGAAAAACTGACAATACTGTATTATTTTTCATTTCCAGGGGGGAGGCACCATTTAGTATTTGTGCACAGAGCCCCTGAAAAGGTTAGCACTGCCCCTGATCTTACAATTCAAACTGTGAGACCAGTGGAAATGATGTCAAAGGGGTTTTTGCAGCGTCAAGTTCAACCTCCATTTCTTGGTGCAGTGGGGAACTCTTCAGAGTGCTGCTGTTATCATTCAGCTCTGCTCCAGTCCTTTTGGAGTCAGGTATACATCACCGTGATCATTTATTTCCACAACTCTTCCTCACTCATCTGAAACACCTACAGGCACACAAATGTACGGCAAGTGTTTTGCGCCAAAGAAATTAGATTCTTTCGACGCAAATTTTTTATCAACAGGCTACAGGAGACGCCATGTGGGTTGGGAATACGGACAAAATATGTTGTTTTCAAGCTCATGACTTCTGTTTATTAACATCCACATCTCATCTCATCTCAATAGAAAGCACAGATAAATAAAACCTGCATCCCAGCCCATGCAGCTAAAACCTCTTAAACTAAATGCATTATTCTTACATCAAATGGCAGCTCTGCAAATGACACTTTCTGCAGCTTTACAGACCTTTGTTTAAGTAATTGCATGAAATAATGGATGATTCAAATATTTTGATTTGTAGATATTTTCTGAAAACTGTTGCACCTTTTACAAACTGGGTACCACCCCAAGAATAAGTTGATAAAGCTAAATAAGTTCTGCAAAGCTTTTCTTTTGTCCCACTGCATATCCAGCACTTAGCATAAAGCAAAACCTTGTGGCTCAGTTGTTATTGGCAAACAAGAGAAAACCTCTCTGCACCAGATTCTCTTCCAAGAGAGTAAAATCAGCAGCTTAAAAAAAGAACCTACAAAGCCCTTATTTATATGTAATTTTATAGTAATAAAAATCCCAGTTATTGAGCATCCAGCTGAATTTCTGCCTTTGGTTACCAATATGGAATATAAAAATGTTCCTTGAAGCAATACAGGGTGATGCAAAGAGAATATATGTGGATTATCAAAGTACTGCAGACAGCCTGATGTTTTGATCATCACCCCATGGCTCCAAAAAGTGATAATGTCACAACCCAAATGAAACATCAGAGGATTAGCTTCTCGTTGCAGCTTCAACGTGACATTTGGAAGAGAAAGTTTTAATAACATCTGTGACATGACAAGAAGGTATCAGCAGTCCTGATAACAGAGTGTCATTGAAATCTGTCAAACATGTTGTAGCTCATTCACCACTAGGACAGAAAATTTAAGCCACTCACTTTAGTTCCTGGGAGTCCTGGAAGTCCCGGTTCACCCTGGGGGCCGAGAAATCCTGGCTCACCCTGAAAAACACCCAAATGAAGGAGCAACTATTACTCACTTTTCCAATGGGTGTTTCTGATGAGCGTTAAAAAGCACATGTAAGATGAGTGGCCGAATATATTCACAAGGACAGGCATGCACTTACTGCTGCTCGTGCACTCCCACATGCACACAAACAGACTAAAAATTGCATGCATAAATCACAGACGAAGACAGGCAATTTGTTAATTGCGTCTAAGTCTAAGTTTCACATATACTAACATTTTTCTTCTTCATGAGCGTGAACATATGAAACGACTGGCATTAAAAGAAACTCATCAAGTCTCTAAGGTAGAGTGTGCAGAACGGGTTACTTAACATTTTTGCTGGGCTTCCAGTAATGGGATGATGCCGCATTGGATTTGTGCTGCTTTTGGTTCTAAAACATGTTTATTATTATATCCATAACAACCATAGTCCCATTAGTACTCAAGAAGCCCTGGATGAACTAATATGCTTAAGTTTTTACTAAGGGTTTAACCTGTACTTGGAGAAATACACTAGAAGAAATTTGACTCTAAATAAGTTTTTTTTCTTGAAATAAGTGCATTTGTTCTTGAATTGAGGAGGTAAGTGAGACACTTTGCCAGTGGAACAAGAAAATTTACATTTAAAATAAGAAAAAAAAATATTGCATTGTCTTATTTTGAGTGCATATCATCTAATTATCTTATTAATAGTAAAAAAATACTCATTCTATTGGCAGATCATCTTATTTACCTACTCAAATTATGTGTTAATACACTTAATTTAAGAAATGTTGACTTATTTCTAGATCGTTTTTGCAGAGCAGCAAAGAATGCAGATGAAGAGTAAACTACTAAGTAAGTTAATCTGAGAACTTGTGAGAGTGCCATGTTAGAAAAAAACTTCTTAAAATCAAACAAAAATACAGGCAGTATATAAATGGGAAATAGCAGTTTTGTTTGTTTGTTGTTTTTTAACAAGGAGAGAAATATATATATATAGGGATATTAAGAAAGGGAGAGAGAAGCACAAACCAAAACACAAGAACAAGCCTCAGCATCATGCCAGTCTCAGCATTTATACAATTCAGACAATTTTTCAAGCCAATGGTCCTGAAATACACTATATTGCCAAAAGTATTTGCTCACCCATCCAAATTATTGGAATCAGGTGTTCCAATCACTTCCATGGCCACAGGTGTATAAATTCAAGCACCTAGGCATGCAGACTGTTTTTACAAACATTTGTGAAAGAATGGGTCGCTCTCAGGAGCTCAGTGAATTCCAGCGTGGAACTGTGATAGGATGCCACCTGTGCAACAAATCCAGTCGTGAAATTTCCTCGCTCCTAAATATTCCACAGTCAACTGTCAGCTGTATTATAAGAAAATGGAAGTGTTTGGGAACGACAGCAACTCAGCCACGAAGAGGTAGGCCACGTAAACTGACGGAGCGGGGTCAGCGGATGCTGACGCGCATAGTGCGAAGAGGTCGCCAACTTTCTGCAGAGTCAATCACTACAGACCTCCAAACTTCATGTGGCCTTCAGATTAGCTCAAGAACAGTGCGCAGAGAGCTTCATGGAATGGGTTTCCATGGTCGAGCAGCTGCATCCAAGCCATACATCACCAAGTGCAATGCAAAGCGTCGGATGCGGTGGTGTAAAGCACGCCGCCACTGGACTCTAGAGCAGTGGAGACGCGTTCTCTGGAGTGACGAATCGCGCTTCTCCATCTGGCAATCTGATGGACGGGTCTGGGTTTGGCGGTTGCCAGGAGAACGGTACTTGTCTGACTGCATTGTGCCAAGTGTAAAGTTTGGTGGAGGGGGGATTATGGTGTGAGGTTGTTTTTCAGGAGCTGGGCTTGGCCCCTTAGTTCCAGTGAAAGGAACTCTGAATGCTTCAGCATACCAAGACATTTTGGACAATTCCATGCTCCCAACTTTGTGGGAACAGTTTGGAGCTGGCCCCTTCCTCTTCCAACATGACTGTGCACCAGTGCACAAAGCAAGGTCCATAAAGACATGGATGACAGAGTCTGGTGTGGATGAACTTGACTGGCCTGCACAGAGTCCTGACCTCAACCCGATAGAACACCTTTGGGATGAATTAGAGCGGAGACTGAGAGCCAGGCCTTCTCGTCCAACATCAGTGTGCAACCTCACAAATGCGCTTCTGGAAGAATGGTCAAAAATTCCCATAAACACACTCCTAAACCTTGTGGACAGCCTTCCCAGAAGAGTTGAAGCTGTTCTAGCTGCAAAGGGTGGACCGACGTCATATTGAACCCTATGGATTAGGAACGGGATGTCACTTAAGCTCATATGTGAGTCAAGGCAGGTGAGCAAATACTTTTGGCAATATAGTGTATATTGGCGTGGTTACAATAACATGATCGGGGAAATAAGTTGTTATGTTCTGGTTAAATGCTTAACTTATTTTTTCCAAACTTCAATAAAAATGATCCTAAAGCTTTGACCAATCAAATGTCCTCCCCTAAAATAAATACTTTGTATTTTCTAAACTGAGGTTGTAAAGACTTATATAAAGAAAACCAGAAGGTTTTTATTTCAGAAGAAAGGAGAAATTTGATTAAGCATGGATCCAATTTCCAAATAGAGAGGATCCTAAACGGAGGTGGTCAAGGCCAGAGAGGATTTCTAAAATCTGTTCATTGCCAAACGATTCAAATCTTAAATGATTCAAGTTGAACAGAACCCTCTACTGCAAAGACCTCTAAACTACTGCCATCTTTGTCTGTGTAAATTCTCTGTCCTCCCTGCATTGTCATGGCAGTAAGCACAAAACAGGCTTAAATTGGAAGGCAACCAGACTTTTACTTAGTTTTTTACTAAAGACGTTTTCAACACCTATCCAGGAGTCTTTGTCAGTTTTGTCAACAGATTCATGTAAATGTTTTTCGGCTCGCTCTGCAACCAACAAACCAAAATTGACAAAGATTCCTGGATGGGTGCTGAAACAGCTTCAGAAAAAAAACTGAGCGAAAGTCTGATTGCCTCCAATTTATGCCTTTTATCTCCTTGTTGCCATGTTTTCATTAGATGGTCATTTTTACTGAAAGCTGAATTTAATGAGGTCTTGTGGTTTGAAATGTCAAAACACTAAAGCATTACATGTTTTCCAGTTGCTCCAAAATGTGACTTTTTTAAAGAACTGAATACTTTGAGGCCTACATATAACTGACACCTTGAATCCAAATCCAAATTAATAATGAAGCAGATAAAAAAAGCAAATTGTTCATCTGTATATGAGTCTGTTCTGAAATAGATTTTTAATTGAACAACTGCTAGACCTTAGTATCTAATAATGTGTAAACTAGTTCTTAGAAATCACTTTCTTAAAGGTAAAGTGGAGGATTTTCACAAAGTTTTGAAAAGATCCGCCCTCTCTACTTAAAAAAAAAAAAAAAACACAAGCACAACCCTGTACCCACTCCCGAGAAGGGATGCCTATTAAACGTGTGCAAGAGCATGCACAAGCCCATTTCTCCTGGTGCACGCTCTGTTTAAAAGTTGCTGTTTGCATCGCTCATACAAGCTTACTTTCCAAAAGAAGATTTGTAATTTTTCCACTATATCAGCCTCCCCACCGGTAAGTGAAAATGTAGACAAGCACACAGGACGGTCTTCCGTAAACATATCACCAGAATGATTGACAATTAGGAGGACCACTTATTTAGATGATCCACCAGAAAAAGAACATCCTCCACTATACCTACTGTATAATAACTGTTGAGGAGTGAGCTACTTCTGACCATTCCACCTTTTGCCATAACATACTTTTTCAAACATTTTACAACCAAAGATTAAAAAAAAAAAAACATAATTGAAAGCAGTGATAATATTTTATAAAAATTGTAAAAAAAAAAAAAAAAAGTTTTGTTTAAAAGAAACAGCAGTTTGGGAAAACGCCGAGTGACAGGATACTTTTCAGCTGAAAAATTCCTCCACCTCTAATAAGACACTAATTACTGAAAACCTCTCTGAAAGGTATTGAGGATGATCTTTTTTTCCAGGGTGGATCATCTAAATAAGTGGTCCTCTTAATTGCCAATCATTCTGGTTATATGTTTATGTAAAGCTTTCCTACATGCTCGCCCTGTTAGCTTTCTTTTCTGTGCATGCGCACTTTCAGGCGTGTATCTGTGGTGAGCTACGGTTTTAGACAGTCATTGAAAATCACCTTTCTCTACGCAGTTCTTTGAAAATGACCGAGGGTTATAAAATTGTCAACGAAGTGTATGAGAAGAAAAGAATGCTTTGCACGGAGAGCTCTTCTCGCAAAGCATAATGGGATTTGCTGTCACAGTGACCCGCTGTTTCCATAGGCTGTCGCTACCCAACAGTGGCATACAATAACAAAGGCTACGTTCACACTGCAGCCTGAAGTGACCCAAATCCGATTTTATTTGGCCCATATGCGACCTGGATCTGATCTTCTCATGGCTGTATGAACAACACAGATCCGATTTCTTCCAATGCGACCCAGGCCATTTGGCTATGTGGTCCTTTTTCCAACACGAATCTGATCTTTTCAAATGCAACCTGTTTCTGAACGGCCAGGTCGCATTTATCCAACCTGAATGCTATTAATGCCTGACACAGGTCATTATTCTGGGTCTTGCTATGAAGAGGCGGCAAGAAAAACAACAACCATGGCGGACGATGATGTATTTATGTTTAATCATCTTGAGAAGATTGTGTTTTTATGCTTGGGAAAGTTTGCTAGATACGCTCCAGCACTACCATCCATGTTTACTTCCGTAAACATAGAGCATGCTGGCCTGTGAATTCATTTTGTCCTCTACTGCTCATGTGGGACACTTGCGTTGTACGACTACAGTTCACACAAGAGATCACATACAAGTCGCATATATTTGGAAATGTGAACAGCAATGCAAAATAATTGGATTTTGCAAAAAAAAATCCGAATTGAGCATCAAGGCCTGCAGTGTGAACATAGCCTAAGATTGTGCAGGCACAGTGCGGAGGAGGAGTTACCTGACCAACGGAGCAAAAAGCAGTGATCATCTCTCCAAACGGTCAATTAACTGAGCTTGCTATAAAGTCCACTATATAGTCCCCGCTGTATGTGGACACAGTAAGCTTATATGAGCTACAGTATGAGCACAGCACATTTTAAACAAGGTGGACCCGAATAGAAATGGGCTTGTGAATGCTCTTGACCATGCATTTTTTTAAGTGCAGAGGGTGGATCTTTTTTTCCACAATACCTTTAAGTATTCTAAAGCATCTGAACAACAGTTGATTTTCAATACTTTTTGAACTGACACATTTTACTTCCAGTAATGGGGTTAAAGCCCTAAAATATGTATTCTATTTACTTATATTTACTCATATGCAGAATATTAACACTAATGTCCACAGTTTTTACTGCAACTGAAAATTGTTCTGCAGCTGCTGCAGATGGAACACTCACATCTGCGTGCAAATCCATCAAAGCCCGGAGAAAGCAAAATTGCTGGACCACAGTGTCATGTGAGCCACGAAAGAGGTTGAACTGAGTTGCTCTGAGCTCTCTCAGATAGGCAGAAGCGGATGGACATGGACAACACTGGGTGGACATGACTGAGAGGGGGGATGAAAACAGCGTAACAATTACCTTTATCCCTGGTAGTCCAGGCAGCCCTGGAAGTCCTGGCTCTCCCTACACAGGAAGAGTGTGACATGTTACAGCCAAGCCAAGCTAAGCTGAGTCAAGCCTCCTTTGTAGGCTCGTTGTTTTTTTTATTAGCTCTGCATGTTATTTCCTGTTTGTGTTTTCACTGGCTATCGCGTGGCTGCAGCTCTGGAAAGCGGTCCCCTGGCTTGAGTTGATTGTCATTTGTTTGGGGGGTGGGGGGAGGCATTAGCAGAAAAGAAGGCACATGCGTTTTTGTTTTTTTTATACTAGCTCATGCAGCTGTAGCTTGACAGTCTGATTAGTACTTGTTATAACAACCCTTCACAAGGAGCAGCAAACTTTCATGAATACTCTATTGGTTCAGACAGATGGGAAAATTTCCAGTTTCTAAAAAGGAAAAACTGTTAGATATGTTGGGTCACATTCGCAAAAGCTGTTTAGGAGAGCTGCAATGGCTTTAAGATCATTAGAGTTTGGCAGTGTGGGAAGCTCACAATTTTTTAAAATATATTTATCTGTTACAAAAAAAAAAAAAAAACGTCCTGAAGTTTGAACAGTGAACCAACTTTTGGTGAGAAAAAAAATTCCCCAAAAACTCAGAGGTCATGTCCTTTTTTAGAGAAATCTGTTAAGACTTGAAAGATAAAAATTCTGACAGGGAATAATTTACAGCTCAATTAGGCCCATTGTACTTATGTATTCTTAAAAAGAAATGACACTCTGGGTATCAGAGAGGAGGCCGCACAGTTACTTAGTGGCTTATAAAAGGGACTTTAAATTAATGATTAAACATCTTTCTTGTGGACAAACACTTTACCAGCAGTTACTGGCAATCATCCAATGGGAAATTTCTAATTAGAAGAAAGATCTTCATCTCTAGATCTCTAGAGATGATTGGAAATGTCTTGTGCTCCTGCACAAATAAGTTAGTCGTGAAGTACAGCAGAAAATAAGACTATGTGTGTTTCCTCTGCAGCTTACAAAGTAAAACCGATTTGCAAGAAAAAGAAAAAAAAATATGAAAAATTACAAAGTAGAACACACAAAATATGTCACCATAAAAATAAAAAAAAAGATCTAACACAATCTCAGTATAAGTCATGTCTTTTTAAATATGCACCTTTTCTGCTACTTTAAATCACTTTTCATCACAATGTGTTACAAAGCTTACAAAGATACCTATACAGTGTTTTGCCCTTCAACCAAACCTTTTCAACTTCTTCTTACCTTTTGTCATGATAAATCACAACCTTCCATGAACTTTGTTGGGATTCTATATAATAGAGCAATACAAAGTAGTGGAGAATTTCTGTGGATTCAGTTCTTTACAAAACCATGTTTTTCTTTTGGGTTACTTTTTTAGCAGCTCCTTTACATATAGATATATATTCAGTACTCGAGTTGAAAATAAATAAAATCAAAGATGTGGGCTATTATGACTATGAAGCTGATCCCAGTGGTTTAATTGTCCTCTGCATTTGTCCCTAGCTATGTAGAGGTAGTGATAGCCACACCAGTCCAGGAACTGCCTGCAGTTCTACTGTAAGGTTACTTGTACAAGGTCAATCACCAGCGTACCTGACATGTATCAACCATACCATGCATATTGCTTCAGGTTAATAGACTATATTAATTAGGCTATGTATACTTCCAAAAAAAAAAATAATAATAATAATAATAACCATACCCCTTCTTTTTTTTTTTTTTTTTTTACAACTACAGTACTGTATATATTTACTTTTTAAATCCAATTGGATTAGAAAAATAGCAATTTATCACAGATTCTTAAGTAGATTCTGAAACAAATGCATGAGCCCTAATTAAAACATACCACTGTAGCTTTAACTTTATATCTAGGGATGTTTTCTGATGCACAGTCTTTTTTTTTCAGGTGTCATTGTCATTACATTGTCACAAGTACAGAGCAACAAAATGACTCTCTGCATTTAACCCATCCCCTTGGGGAGCAGTGGGCTGCCATTGTGCGACACCCGGGGAGCTGTGTGAGGTGAAGGGTCTTTGCTCAGGGACCCAGAGTGGCAGTCTGTGGGAGTGGGACTCGAACTCAAAATCTCAGGATTCCAAGTGCAATGTCCTAACCCCTACCCCTTTGGTGTATTTGTTATTTTTTTTACATGAGGAATTAAACAATGCTCAATCAGATGTTTAAAGCTTAAGCTATTTATAACCTTACCATGCATCTATGCCCCAATAACTTTATGCATGACCTGTCGGTATGCTCCCTGGGTTTCACAAAGCTGTCATAAAACAGCTGAATTTCTACTGCAATTAAAGCACTGCACAGCTGCACACCTTGGTAACTCTGAACACTGTTTGGAAAAATTAAGGTTAGAGGTCCAAATCTTCATATTGCTTTTTTTTTTTTTTTTTTTTTTTTTTTTTTTTTACATTGAGTATGCATATTACCTCAGTGCATTAAAGTAGTGGTTCCAAACCTTTTTTGGCTTACGTACACCTTTGCCATTTTATCATGCTATGAGGACCCCTTGGCCAAAAGTGTTACTTTGCAAAAATAGAAAGTTCAAATGACAAAAAATATGTCAAATATTTATTTAATTTCCTTGACTTGAACATTTATTTTTAGACATTTAATTCTTTCCAATTAGAATAAAAAAATATCATAAATATGTATCCTGGAATTTGAAAAAGTGCTCTTCTGAATAAGTCCCCTATAAATACATCTAAACTTGACAAAAAAAAAACTAAATATTCAGATTCACTGTCATAATGAAACACCTGACTTCCTCCTGAATCCCCAGCAATGAGATGTTTTAGCCATTTATCCATGACTGCAGCTGCTTTGGAGTGTTCTTCTCTTCACTCACAGAGAAGTAGTGCAGGTGCACAGTACCAATACCCACTCTAGTCTTTCATTAAAGTTTTAAAAAGGAAATGTTTTTGATTTATTTTGCACAAGGGTCTTTACAGAAAAAACCCACTCCAGCCCTATTTTATTGTATTTCTTTATCTAGGAGGTAAAATATTAAATGTTTTCACGTACCCCTTGCAATGCATTCACAGACCACTAGGGGTACTAGTACCCCTGGTTGGGAATCACTGCATTAAAGGGTTACCTCTGGGTACTCAAGCTTTCTTCCACAGTCTAAAGTATGTTGGGTTAATTTGTCTCTCTAAATTCCCAATAAATTGCATGGTTGTTGGTCCTGTTATTCTTTCTTCTATGTTGCTTATGATGGACTGGTGACCTGTCCAGGGTGTAGCCTAACCCTCCCTTCATGTCTGCTGGAAAAAGGCAACAAACCCTCACAATGCCTCACGGATTAGCAGATATAAAGAAGATAACCAGGTGAAATTATACTCAAGGAAACTTTTTTTATTATTATTAATTAGGGAATCTTTTAAATATATTTGGTTCCTTTTAGAGGTATCAGTTTAAAGTGGGATGAATAGAATTACATGTCACATTGTTCTGTTCTTGATGTGTAAAACATTATTTCCTTTGCCTCTAGGATCAAAGTTATGCACCACTGTGTATTATTCTATAAAACCTACTAAAATACATCACAGTTGGTTAGTTCAAGGATGTAAAGCACCTTTGAAGGCAATAAACAACATAAACAAGATGCCATAGCAGCAAACCTTGCTTTTTAGTTGCACTGCTGCAAAGCTACCTAATGAGTCCCGTAGAGTTAGACACAACTACATAAATCCTAACTAAAAAGGGAAACCAACAAAGCTGTTAGTATGATTTCTCAGATTATATCGACTGAAAACTAAATGACAGATAAAAAAAATTCAGATTTATATGTCAGATTTATTTGAGCCTTCATCATATAGAAAACAAATATTTGGCACAACAGACTCCACTAGCTTTGAGATAACCAACCTTTAATTGAAATATCTTGGAATAAAAGCTTCCCCTTCTATTGAGTACGTCTAGGTATGGGCATTTGCACTGTGAACAGACATATCAGTATCTACAGACAGTATCTGTCTGTTGCATGTTTCTGTTCAGTCATGAAAAAATATTTAGATTTGAAGAAAGAATAAAAATATTACCTTCTGTCCGCTCCGTCCAGGTTCTCCCGGTTCCCCCTGCAAAACAGAAAGCTCTGTTTTTCTCAGCTGCTCTATTTCCAGGTATTTTCTAAATAGTATTGCAACAGATCTCAGGGGAACATTTTATTGTTGATTAGACTTTTTCAGACCTAAGACCATATTTATACACAGTTATATGTATTTTTGACGTTTTTGGGTGTGATAGAATATTTAAATCCTAAATGCTGTGTTCCCGTTAGCTTTAAATAAAAAACAAACAAACATCTCAATCAATAGAAATAAAGGCTTGAAAAGTTCAATCTGTTTTAACTTGTGCAATTTGTGTATTGTTCCGGAAATAAAACACAACTATGTAATAATATTCTAATTTACTGAATATGACCCTAAACACATTGTTTTATGCTGCAATCAGTGCTACTTGAGATTCAGTGTTTTGCCCAGGTACAGTGTGAAAAGTGATGAAGCAAGACTTAAACTGATAAGGTTACAAATAAGACTACACTAGATTTTAGATAATATAGATAAAAAAGTCTCCTTAAGTCAAGAGATCAACCATTTTTTTGCCATGGGCTGTACATGCTTTTATCCAGGGTGGTAATGTGTCAAAGTGAGGTTAAATTTGTTTAAAATATGAAAATGATTTAGTTTTAAATTGAGCAACAGGTTAAGACCACTTACGTTTCCTGAGGGCATCTGTGATTTATCAAAAATTGGTGGATTGTGCAAATTATAAAAAAGATTCTTAGTAGTAGAAGTGGTAGGAAGTCAAACATGAAGTTACCACACTGTTAGTACTTGGTAACCTGCTGCAACTGGCCTCATATTTGCATTGATAAGCCTCCTGAAAAATGTATTGTGCCTTTTAAATGGAGCCTGACAAACTTATAACTTCTGTTTTTGTCTTTCATTAACCCTCTTATGTGCAATTTGGAGGTGTGTGCACCAACAGATCAGATTTTTTGTAGCCAGAGTGGTTACAAGACACAATGCTAAAAGCATTACCAAATAGTAGCAAACTGTTTCCTGTCAAAGATAAAGTGTGAAATATGTTTTTCCCCTTCTCCTTCCCCATTATGGCTCATATCTTTCCACAGAGATAAAGGCAGCGTTATAGGGAACCACCTCACGGTGGGGACCTGGGAAGCCATAAGAACGCGCCAAAGGCAGCATTCTGCAGCACGCATGGCCTCAGTTAAATCGTCCCCCCGTTAAACCGTAAACCATTTCCATAAGTGCAACAGAGAATCACAAATACAAGCCAAACTAAAACAATAGAATCATGCGTTTAGAATTTACCTTGATGCCTGCTGCAGAGGAGCCTGCATCACCCTAAGGGGAAAGAATAATACAAGAAATTAATTTATAACACTAAAAAAAACATGTTAGATTTAGTTTTATACATCACTAGTGCTGCCTGCAAGGTTAAAACTAAAACTTTTATACATGAAGGCAAAGGTTCCAAAGATGATTTCAAAAGAACTTAATTTACTCAACAATGATGAACAAAAATCACAAAACAGCTGCATTTCTGTGGTGAAAACAGTGTGGAAATCCAATTAGAAAGAAGGCTTTTTGCTGTTTTAAACACTGAAAGCCAAGTTTACCTTCCCACAGACCTCTGATACAGCGTTTAAATAGGCTTCAGAGCTGGAAATCATTTCAGTGTTTTTAAAATGTCAGAGTGCAGCTGCTTAGTGATCATGACATGAGAGCTGAAATCTAACATTATAATAGAAAAATCCACAGTAAAGAAGGTTAGAGGTTTGATAGATGTACTGTAACCGTTTGAAATGTACATTTCTCCAGGTAATGCATTGAACTAGATGGAGACAGAGCTACTTATGTTGCATTCTTTTTTTTCTTCCATCTAAGTCCTCCAGACATCCAGAAGCGAGGCCCTCTGCTACGCATCGCATTACTACTGCAGTGTACAGTTAAAGCAGACATAAAACAAGGGGCCAATAAGTGTAATTATGGGCGGTTGGTGGGAAAACGGAGCAGGGAGGAGGAGACTTGGTGCCTTCAGCTCTGGTGTGGACTCTGCGGTTTCACTACACATACGCCTCACGCTCAGAAGTCACAGCAGGAATGCATCTCGCCCTCAGCTTTTTATGGGAATCATTATGATGCATAGCGCACAAGTCAGTGTTTAATTGTAGCCCATTTTCCTTTTTTCTTTTCCTCTTCGCAACAAACTGCATTACTGTTTGCAGCTGCGCTTCTTTTTGCACACCCTGGGACGCCTCTTTGAGCACATCGACGTGCCATTCTGTTTTATGACCATTTTCATAAGTTAGTCAGGGTATAAGATCTCAGTGAATACATGTATTTTTACAGTCTGCAGCAAAATTAGAGTTCAAGTTACAGTTTATGGCAAAGAAAAAGGATTCCAAATAATTTTATATCATCAAACAGGAACGGTTTTACCCCCATGCTTTGGGCAGATCTCATGTTGTGGTTGACCAAAAAGATATAATAAAACTGGTCAAATTTATAGAGCAACCTTATCAAATGCAAAACAAACACACAAATCAGAGTTTGTTTTCACCTGTTGCTTGTTGGCACAGAGATTCACATCTGCACCTCATCTCAAACAAAGAAGTAACAAGAAAAGATCTAAGCTTGTAAAGATCATAAGCAAAACATGTCAGCAAAGTTCCTAGCATAAACAATGCTTTTCCCACAATTAATCACAGCATGACCACACTGTTGAGGAGAAAAATGAATTTATAAGGCACTTTTTACAAGAGAAGCCCGCATCAACTCTTGTAGTGGTACTAGAGGATTCTACATAGGCGATTAACACTTTGCTCCCTCTGTCGCTTCTGTTGCGACAGATCTAACACGGGTGACAAGAGCCAAACGCGAGTTATGGCCATACTTTAATCTCTTCCAAATGTACGCCGTATGAGATGGAAAAAGTGGTGGAGCTGGAAGGTAAGCTGAGGTGTGGGAGAGAGAGAGAGAGAGTGCTGAAATGTCCCATCTGGGCCAATTATCATGTGGAGGCAGCAGAACGGCGATTTAACCACAGGGCTGAGTGGGACCAAGAGCTGTCACCGCAGCTCCTTCATTACGGGCACCCAGACCTGTCGCCACACACTGGCATTGAAGTATAATAGCCCAATGGTCTCATAATACACGCTTGGTCAATCGGGCCATTATCCAGCTGTTTGCTTGGAGAGGAAGATGTGCAAATGAGATGGAGGGAATTTATTTGGGAGCAGAGAAACTGGGACGGAGCTGCGACGCATGTCATGCCACAGCAGCCCTCAAGCATAGCTCTTATTTAACATTACGGCCTTTAGAAACGATGACCAAATCCACTGGCCTCCGCTTAAATATCAGCCTTACTCATTACGCTATATATGTGAGGTTTGGAGGGCAGATGGAGCCTAGCAACACTTTAATTGTGGGCCAAGACTCAAGACCTTCAGGATGTAAAAATTATTTTTTGCCACATTGCAATTGAAGCTGGAGCTTCCCCAAAAAACAAAATAACACATTAGTAGGATTCATTTAGTTTTTAAAACCGTAAATCTTTTTTTTCAATCTGCAACTTTTCAAAACAAGATGAGTCACACTTAATTTCACACCTAGTTAAATACTTAGACAGTAAATGGCTCAGAACTAAAGCTTTTAACTGCGGTAATGATTTGTTTTAAATGAGGCCAGAGAGGGGACCAGCAGACACTGTTGGAAAATGTAATTTTCTCTGCTGATGAAGGCAACGCAGACTGTCCTCTCTGTATGTAAAACAAGAACAGTGGCGGAAAATGAAAACAATTACTTTATAACACTGCTGTCCTTTGGCTTGCCTAAGTATTGACAAAGTTTAAAATTATTTACATTTTGTCATATTACAGTAGAAAACCTAAATCTCTCACTGCAATTTTTTTTTTACATACTGGTAAATAAGTCATTTTTTCTTAAAATAAGTGCATTTTCTTAAATTGAGGAGGTAAACTGAGGAAAAATGCCAATGGAACAAGACAATTTACATTTAAAATAAGAAAAAAACATTGCATTGTCAAATTTTATGTGCATATTATCTAATTATGTTATCTTAACAGTTAAAATCCTCATTCCGTTGGAAGGTCATCTTATTTACCTACTTAAATTAAGGGTAAATATACTTAATTTAAGAAATGTTTGCTTTTTTCTAGATCGTTTTCGGAGTGCAGCTATTTGCATTTTATGAGATTAACTAAATGTGGTTCATAGCTGTCAAGACAAAGCTGCTCCTGACACATTGCTTAATGTGAAACAATAGCAGTTGAAGCATCAAGCTGTGAGGATGCTTTTTTTCAGCAGGGGGGAAGACAACTGGTTGTAAATGATGGGATGTTGCATGAGAAGTATCAGAAGTAGGTTAATCTTCATTCCAACAAAATCTTAGTCAACTGAGGAAAGGAAAACTAAATGTACTTGTTTTCATAATCATTGAGGTGTTTAAAAAGAGGTGAGAGGAAGCACCAAAGGTTGAATAAAGTTCTGCAACGCTTTAACCTCTGTCTAGCATTTGAAAAAGTTGTCTTCCGATAGGAAATCTCAGAGTTAATGCATAGATGCATTAGGGCAGAGGTCTTCTACCCTGGTCCTCAGGGCCCGTTGTCCTGAAATGTTTTAGGTGTCTCCCTGCCACCCCACATCTGACCTGAATGAAAAGGTGATAAACAGGATTTTGCAGCCTTTTATGGCTGCCAAGGAGGTAATGCAATGGTTTAAATATTTTATGTTTCTCCACTTTTGCACTTCCTTTTTTAGTTTCATTTTTCATGTCATTCTGTTTTGTTGGTCATTGGTTTATTTTTCATTCTGTCTTATATTTAAGCCATGTTGCATTTTTTGAGTTACTCTCTGTTGCCGCCTTCTGCCAGTCTACTTTCCCGTGGCTCCCTTCTATTTACTTCTTTCCACTCCTACTTCCTATCAGCTGATTAGCCCATTCTTTGCTCTGTCCTTATATACATACCTCCCCTGCAGTTCCTCATTGCTAGTTTATCATTGTTACTTAGCTCCTCATGTGTGCTTTGCCCTAGCGTCTCCTGGTTTTGGTTTTCTGCATTCTGTTCATGGATTTTGTTTTTGTTTTCCATTAAATCAGCAAAAACTCAACTCTGCATTTGGGTCCTCAACCAATCTCCAACCTACATTGACAAAGTCAGGTTGGCTTCAGTAAAGACACATCTAAGATACAAAGCACAGTGGGCTCTGAGGACCAGGGTGTACGCTAACCTAGGGTGTACCCATAATAGTCAAGATTTACGTCTTTATAGACACATTAAGTGAGCTGTACTTATATTCAAGTCAGGGAGCTACAAGGAATTGTACACTACATTCAATCGTTCACACAGGCTAACTACATTGTAGCCACAGCTGCACTGGGGCTAACTGACAGAAACAAGGCTGCCATAAACAGTTGCCCTATAAACACCATCAGCAGGGAATGCAGGAGAAGTGTGTTGTCCAAGGACACAATGACAAAAGTTTGAGCTGGTAATCCTCAGGTTGGAAAACTAATTCCTACATCTGAAACCACTGTGACCCCTGCCATCGCATAACGGTTCTTAAACAGAAATTTGACAAAAAAAGGTGTCTGTAGGACAAAGCTATTTAGAAAAATGCCATCAGATTACAGTCTCTAATTTTGAAGACTGTTAAGAAAGGTTATTTTGCTGCTAATGAAGACTTATGAGCAACATGCTTATGTCTCTCATCCTTTCCAATCAACATATTTAGTGTTATCCAAAAAGAAACAAGTAACTGAATGTAATTGACCTGTCCTGTCATTTAGTGCCCTGCACATATAACAGCAACCCCCCACACCATATAACCAGTCTCCTCCTGTCTCAGAAAAAACGTGGCCTGACTGCTTACACTGACGTTTTTCTCTCCGCTCTGTGCTCCCTGAGGTCTCTAAGCTCAACATAACAAAGCCTATTCTGTCTCACCTCTCACTTAGTGTTTCCACATATTTTTTCTTGCTGTGCGTGCTGCGTATTGTTAACTTTGGCATCTAGAGGACTGAGGATGCCCTCTCCCCTTCTGCTCTCTCTATTCCCTGGTTTCTCCAGCCATCAATGTTACGACAATACTATGGCAGATGAGCAATTGATCAGACGAAATAAAAAAAAGCTCTGATGACAGGGGCCCTGCTTGAGCATACATTATCTTCACACATGTTAAATTCATCTGAAGGTATCTTGATCGAAGCTATTCTCACCATATGTTGTGCACCATGTTAAATAAAACATCTAACCCAATGGTGATAGATTGAGATGATGTAATCTCACTTTTCTTATCCTAAACACAAAATGGATCTAAAATGTGTACTCGCCAAGTCAGTCAAGTTAAAATGTTATGATTTGAACAGCTTTTTTCAAGATAATGTTCAAACTCTGTGACATAAAACCTCTAAACCCTAAGTTAAAAAACAACAATAAAACCAAAAGGGAAAAAACTGGTTCTATGATTTGTGGTAGTGCCTTTAGATAGCATTAAACTTTGTTTACATTGGTCACCAAAGAATAAATAACTGTCCTTAAATGATTTTCCTTAAATGTGTTGCTTTGCATCCTTTAACAAAAGTTCATACTTTACAGAGAGTTCACAGAGGATCGACAGGATCTCATTGCACAAAGGTATCGGCCAGGAAAAAATAAAAAAAACCTTCCTCAGCATGATATATGTACCCAGACAAGTAAAGCCAGTTATTGAAAATAAGGAAAACAGTCACATTAATAAAACTGCATAGTTATGTAACTTTGATCGATAAAGGAAACTAGTCAGTTATGCTTCCAAGAGGCATCAGCAACACAAGAGGAGCTTCAGAAATTCCTGGCTAATACTAGCTGTGTTGTACATGTTACAACAACCTCTTGTATTCTCCATATGTCTGGGCTGAAGAGGTTCCAAGACAAAATCCTTTACCCACAAAGAAAACATGCAGACTTGGCTGCACTCCTTAAAACCATTGTGGTTTAATGTGGCATGATCTATTGTTCATCATCAAAAGAACGCCATAACCAAAGAGGAACATGATGGTAGCAGCATAATGTTCTGTCAGTTTACTGTTCTGTGAGTAGAACTGTGGCTATTGTGAAGTTCAAATGCCAATTAATTTGGAACCAAAACCTTCAGTTTTATGCTAAGAAGCATCAAAGTAGATTCAACCGTACATCCATTTTAAGAAAAATGCCTTCACGCATTCAAAACAAATTTTTGATATGGCCAAGCCAGAATCTAGAGCTAAAAATATCAGATAATCTGTGTGGTCAGCTGATACGAGCTGTGGACAATGGAGTCAGCAGAAACTGATAGAACTGCAGGATTTTAGCCAAATAAAGAGAACATATATCGGTAGAGACTTAATACTTAAATTGAAGCAAGGGTACTTGAATACTTAAAATGCTTGAGGTGTCTTCAAATATATACAAACAGGATATTCTTTATTTTTTTAGGAATTTATTTATCATATCACTGTCCAACTCTTTTTTTTTTCCCCCCCCCGGAGAAACAGTTTTTTGCTTTGGTTAAACCATAGTCTCATTTTTTATGTCTGTAGACTTTTTATGTCAACTGTATTTCTTATTCTTCACAGTAACTCTCCCTGGAGTATGCACTTGAAGAATGACTAGTAACTTCAACTGTTCTAGCAAGAAAAAAAAGTCACTTTTTCCCCTTTTATTGCACTAAGGTACACTGGATCAAAGCGTCGCATGAGCTGCAAAGTTTTATCACCCTACGCCTACCTTCCCGTTTTGTTCATTCATTTTCCACAGATGATATCTTTCATCTGTTTCCCTTGAATTGTATCCTTCTCGGCTGCCGAGTTCGGCAGCCTTTTAAAAACCGCAGCACCCATAAAGCGAGAGGTTATCAAAGTTGTTCTCCACTGAACAGCAATAAATTGGCAGTGACATTTTGAGTACACGGCTTCCACACGGCTGCTGGTCTTTGAGTTACACTTTGTTTTCATACCTAGCAGTATTCAGAGCAAAAAAAAAAAAAAAGGAAGCATCTCCGGTGCATAATACATCAAAGTGTTTAGGGCTGGCTGTCCTGGAGCAGCAATTGTGTTACCACTTTTTTGGCAATCTTTGAAAAATCTTTATCCTTTCCCAGAAATGTGAGGAGCTGAATCAACATTTTCATGTAATGGTTTATTCAAATCAATAATGGCATTCTGAAATGCTTTAAAACAGGTTTGCAGAGGAAAGTGTTCCGATTTCTGTTGTGAGCTCATAAAATTGAAATAAGGCTTCAGTCTATTTTTATGAATGTTACTTTTACATGGTAAAAAAAGCAAAGGTGATACAGAGAATTTTGGATGAAAAGAGTAATAGCTCTGACAAGTAATGTTTCATATAAAATGAGCCTCACTTAAAACTCAAAAGTTTGGGACAGAAACATTCATCTATCCAACATAGCTTGGTTTTGAATATTGTTAAAAAATGGATCTCAGTTTGACAAGCTGTCTTTATGGTAAATAGTCCTTCAAGAAAAAAAAAATACCATCATACTGTCGAAAAAGTTCACATAATTCAGTGAGGAATCAAGTACCGGGAGGATTGCTTTTATTCACCCATCACAACAGATGTTTGTTGATGGTACATGACCTCAGCTGCCGCTGATGGGCATACATCTCATCTCAGATGGATAACATTAACTTTGAGTAATGCATATTGGGCAAAGCCAGACCATCTACTGTTTCTCTGAAAAAGTACCAAGACAAAAACAATACGGTGAAATTAAATAATTTGCATACCTTCTCGCCCATGTCACCTTTCGGTCCGTCTTCACCCATATCCCCCTGCAATGAGATCACATGACATCATATTCAGCCGCTTTTTTTTACGACACAGGAATGAATCAAAGCTGAAAAACTGAATGTTTAAACACGGCTGTTTCAACAGGCACACAGTAGGACGGCTATGCTATCTGTGACTGACTGCCATGTTAAACAGTGTAATGAACGCTTGAGGTAAAGGCCAGGAACACTGGAGCCAGAATTAAGTATCGTTACCATACAAATGCAGGGTAATGGCCTTTTATCTTCACTTTGGTCACTGAGTCATCACATGTGTTTCAAGTATGGCTTGTTTCAGGTGATGTAATGCATTCTGCAGAGTATAGTGGGGGTCCCAAACTCTTGGCATTGACAACAGTAGCACAGATAACTAAATTCACTATCTTGGCCCTAAAAGCCAGTGCTGTTTACCATCCATGCCTGATGCGTAGCTAAACGACTAGCTATGCTGTTTAACTGTTTTTTCATAATTAGATTTGAACAAGAAACTGGCCACTGGATGAAGATATAAACATTAGATCTAAATCTTATGAGTAGACCTTTGTGGCAGCTGCCAAAAGGCGGATTTATTGGCAGAGTGTTGGCCCTGTATGGGACTGGTATGTTATCTGAGTCTTTAAGGAGTAAGTAGGTCCCTTGTTTGGCCATTCTACACAATTAAAGGGAGGGATTTTGTACACATCTAAAAATCAAAACATGTTTAGCAGTGTAACATCCATGAAATGGATAAAAAATAACAACCCAGACTGGTGGTGTGAGACCTCAGAATCATTTGAAGCCCTTCACTGCCATGCTGGTATTCAGCTTTTAAGTAAATATTAGCAAAGAAAACACTTTACTTGTGAGCATGTGGTTCAATTTCTGTTTTTGAGGTGATTTTTTACAAAATTGTCCAAAAACTTAAAGTAATAAAAAAAATGTGTCTATTAATTTGGAGGTGTAATGAATGATTAAGAGTTTATTAACCAAAATAAATGCTCCAAAGAAGTTATGCCTCTTCAAGGGAAATTTGAAGACAGTTATATTAACATACATTTATATATTGGCTAAAACCCCACAACTTAATATTATAACAATAATCTAGATTACTAGTTAAATGCTGGATTTCAGCAAGATGAGTTACATTTGTATGCAAACAAAGTAGTTTGAAGACAACAAACAAAGCACAACAAAAATTCAAATAAACATGTTTGTTATGATCTTGGCAGTGATGACTGGTCCGATTACTCATTTCACTTATCTGTCTGTTCAGTTTTCAATACTGCTCATCTGCTTCACCTGCTCCAGCCTTCAAACCAGTCATCAGTAGGCCTACCAGATTATTCCAGCCTTTGGTGAGAGTTCTCTAGCATTCCTGTGTTCTGATTACCTGATCCTGGCCAATTCTGCATCTGGACCTCTAAAACTGCCTGTCCTCGTTCTGATCTGTTTGCCTGACCTGTCCCCAGACTCTTTCTGGATTTCTGCCTCTGTACCGCACCTGGAACTGTTCCCCAACTCCGTTCTGGATTTCCCTCCGGTACCTCTTAGGACCTCTGATCATTTGGCTCTGACTACAGAGCCAGAGACACTGGGTTAAGCTGTGCTTTTTGGAATATAATGCCTTCCTTTGTCTCCTCGGTTCTGATCTCCTGCCTGTTCTCCGACCTCTAAGACATCAGCGCCTGGGATTCTCTGGGCACTGCCCGCCGCGTAGAGTCCTGCACGGGTCGAGTTTTACCAACCCGCACCCGCCCGAACCCGTTAGGATGACTACCGAACCCGACCCGTCAGCCGCGGATATCTTCAATTCAAATCCGAACCCGACCCGACCCGTTGATATTTAACCCACAACCCGACCCGTTAACACATCAAGTAATAGGCTATAGTAAGCTGCGCTGCAGAACAGCTCCATTAACACTGCAGCAGACGTGTATGCACTGACTGTGGCCTTCTTGGAGGGAAGCCCACACTGCCGGCAGGGCTTTAAGCTACAACAAGGGTGACCCCAGTGCCTGATTAATATAACATTTCTGATGTCCATAACAACACACGCATAAAAAAAAAAACCACCAACTACCCGCCCGCACTAAAAAAATATCCGCCCGACCCGTTTATTTTTATTTATGTATTTTTCACCCGCAAAAGAGCATTTTTGCGGGTGACCCGTCGGCTGGAACAACCTCATCCTCTGGGAACATTCCTGTCTAAGATGTCTACGCTGTTCACTGCAGTTCTGCCTTTAATAAACATTTTGTTAAATTTAAAGGTCTTAATACCTTCAATACTGGGTCTTTTTGTTCTGACAATGTTAGCACCGTTGCTTTTTTGAATGTCTGAGAAGAAATGAAAAAAAAAACCAAAAGGCTATCTAAAGGTGTATCTATTTAACTTGTATATACTTATATAAAAAGGTGTTAAAATGATTTTAAAACTGCCTGATATTTCTTGTACAATATGTAATCGGAATGCAGAACCTTGAGATCCTGAACAACAGAATCAGTGCATTAACGTTAGTTATAACATTGTGCATTTTGTCTACCAGTTAATTGGTTTAGTCAAAGCCGAAAAACAACAGTTTATAATGACCTACTAGGCTCCTCTGAAAAATGTCAACCTCTATATTTGGCGTAGGTTATAGCTCTGTCTGGCAGTGAACTGGTCATTTCACTTTTCATAAATCCACTGGTGTTGTCTAAGACTACAAATCATGCAATGACTTTGGAGGTCTGTGGGTATGATATCAAAGCTTGTTTCCTTCTGTAAATTATTGAGGGATAACCTAAAGAAAAAGGCTTACTGTGGCAGTTTGTCTCTTTGACATGTGTGTTTTTCCATCAAGAAATCTATATGTTGGAAGGTAAAATAACTATGGAGAATGAAGTCAGTACCATAACAATTTAGTTTCCTGAATTTACTTGCTGGCTTTTGAGCAGGAGAACAAAGCCAAAGACTACAATTTTTAATGACAATCCTGGCTTTAGTTCTGAGAGACAATTCTCAGCTCTGAGGGTCGGACCATGTAAGAGGTCTGACAGCTCTGGAAATTAACTAAAATTACATTCTGCTGAACAAATAAATTAATTTCAAAACCTTCACTCAAAGAAGGTTTTTTTTGTTTTTTTTTACTTTTGTTTTCAGAGAAAACAGCTATTAGGAGTGACTGGTCAGACACAAAGCAGAGAGGCAAATTAAGTTACATTGAAAGACACAAAGCCTGTTTACACTGGGTTATAAAAAGGCGTGGAAACTCCCGGTATGAAGTAAAACATTTAAGAGCGGCATATTGTGTGTGGTGAGGCCTGGATGCCGGTTTTATACGATCTTAAACTGAAACATGGGAAACCAATCTACCTTCTCAGACCATTGATTTATGCTTATGACTTTTTGAATTGACGCGATCCTGCATCATTAGAATCTGCCGGGTGCAGTTTCTGTAACTGCACATTGAGCTGTTATTTGCATCCAGCTAATTCTCCACAGGACACCCGTGATGAGGGAGCAGCGGTTGCTATGAGAGTGTTTCCACAAAGCCTCATTATTACAGTGAAGCAGGTATGTTGGCGGAGGAGAATAAGTTAGATTCGACTCAAAACAAGAGCCCAAAGACCAATTTTGTGGTTGATAAAGCACAATGAATCATAAGTTCCTTCCTGATCACTGTTGACTTGGTTGATATTTACACCTCCCACTCCAACAGGACCAAGTTAGTGCACCATTAGAATCAAGGAATGGAGGAAAATAAAGCAGGTTTTCCTCTAGGAGGACATTTTTGGAACCTGTAAGGACCATCGCCCAGACCCGGAGAAATTGGGCGCAGTTTTATGACTCATTTAATTACTGGCTAACTGATGCCCAGGTCTTTGATGAGAGTCACCTTTGAAAATACAAGCTGGAGTTGTGAGGCACAATAGCAGGGCTGCAGTGATTTCCCCACAAAGGTTATTCTAACACATGGTGGGATACTTAGAAGGATGTGTGGGGAGATTTGAGTTATTACTTTACCTTTTCACCCTGATCTCCCTTTTCACCCTGTTGGAAGAGAAAGGGGAGAATTAGACACAGGACAGGTCACAGGGTTGGGGTTGCTGGTTGGTGTGCGGGCGGGGGTGGGAGTAGAGGGGTTGGTGGACAACTTTAGATTTTGATTGGATAAAATCCAAGTTGGATAAAGAAAAAAAAAAGGATTTTGTTCCCAAAGTCACACCTATGGTTGTCAGATTTTCCCTTCATAAAATTATTTTCAATATCATTTGTGAAACTTTGTAAACTGTAGTTCCAAAGATTTAAAACATAATAACCTTGCAATATTTACAACTAAAAACAGCCCATAATTATATCTTCTAGCTTAACAATAATAAAAAAAAGACAATTATTATTCATGTACAGTTGACCAACAAATGGCAGGACAAGAACACGAGCCACAAATGTTGGACATAAAGGATGACAGGGTAAAATAATGTTTCAAGCAGAAATAAAAAGGTGACTAAAAGAATGAGAGCACACAGAGGAAGTGTGCACCAGACCTTGGCGCCTGGGATTCCGTCCCGTCCTGGGATGCCAACATCTCCCTATTGACAGCACGACACACAGTAACTGTATTCAGTGTGTGTTTATGAAGATTTGAACTGTAATTTAGGGCTTGGAGAATAAACAATGGCTCATTTACAGTGCAATGTCTTTTTTTCCCAATAAATACAATGAAAATACACTCTGAAGACATAATAGAGTGCTTTGTATTGTGCCCAGAAAGAATTTATGCCCTGTAAGCAAAGGGAGGCACTAAAAACACAGATGGAAGAAGAAAAGACTCAAAATACAATCGGTAATTTAATAAATAAACTAATACTTGCATTTAAACAAACACTGTAAGGATCTTAGATGCTGATGCAAGTATTTAGGTCAATATTTTTGAAATATTTGCAAATTTACCTTTGCAGGAAAAAAATATCATAACTTGCTTATAGAAATGCGGCATGTTTCCTAGCTGAAGGTAATAGCTGGGGTACAGAAACTGAAATTGTGTTTTGATGGCTATACCTATGACATGAACCTTAATCCATTTATTTAATCTTAAAGTGAGGCAAATATATATACATACATACATACATACATGACCTAAACCACATCCCTACACACATGGCACACACAAAACAGTCCCTAATATCTTTCTTTTGCAGAGTAACTTTGCAACTTTCTCCTTGCAGAAGTGACAGCTTATGCTTTAATTTTTCTATGTTCGCAGCTTTTCTTCAGGGTTCTCTTTGCAACTCCCTTTTATCATACTAATCCTCATCACCTTGGCAACCCTTTCCTTATAGTCATGTAATTCTATTTGATCATCTTGAGTAATTTGAAGAATGCTTTTTCACTGCAGATATGCGTCATGGAATTGGTGAACTTTCCAGGCTTTGTGCATGTGCACTTTCCCATAACCACATATATGCAAATGAATACAGTCTATGTATGTATGCATAGGATGGAGGGAAATCATTTAAAAAACAGCATCTCTTTATTTGTAAAATAATTTTAATCTTTCATCCCTCTGTCTAGCGATCAGATGTCGGGCCCAGCAGCTAGTGTCGGCTTGTTTATAGTAAAACAATCATACAGATTTTCTGATGTGCATATGGTACTGAGAGGAAGAAAGCAAGACAGTCTTAGGTCATCAGTTCATGCTTTGACAATGTAAAAAAGTTTTCTTATTATGCCAGTTATTTGTATGTCCTTCAAATTTCTCCTGAAAACTGGAATTTCTGGAATATTGGACAAAGCTAACTACTTGCTTAGCCGTCACTGTTTTAGTTGTTAAAGATTAGTTAAAGAGAACAGCCAAGTCTATTTGATTCTGTTGGTGTAAAGCTATAATTTCTCTGCCCTTAAAGCAGACCGACCTCAATACATCTGTTGCCAAAAGAAATTAACCTCATGACCTTTGCTAACCTACCACATCATAACCTTTTCTAGAGTAGGAGTTACCCCTAAAGACAGGCAGGCAGCTCTAACCAGATGAAGCCACTTAATGTAGCTAAAATGGAAATTACAAGGGTTCAATGTTTTGATTAAAACGGCAGTCAGTAAGTAGCACAGAATTTTTCAAACTGCGAAAAAATATATATAAATGTACCGGTAAGTTATTTCATTTCATCCCCATAAATAATGTTCGTTGATGTTATTCCAATGTTTCTCATCTTTGTTTTCATTTCCAACCCAATGCCTTGATTTAATGAAGCCTTGTGGTAATGATCAGCGTGTATGATCCATGTGTGGACCCCCCCTTCGCTCCTTTACTATAACAGTGGTGATGATACTTCATGAGCACTGGGACTCTGCATCATTCATCAGACCACATATGGGAGTCATTCACATAATGATGATCCTGTTCCCCCATGACTATGACAGAGTCTGATTAAAAACTAACGTTGATAAGGTTTACCTTAGCCACCTACCCCCCACTGCCCAGTGTGTGCATCGCTGTCAGATCAGTATGATGTCTGACAGTCAACCTGCCACTGCAGAGGGATCAGGCTTTCACTGCCTCCAAGTTCAACTTTCTGCATGAACGAGACTTACATACCATAACAGACTGTTTTATAGATGGATTGCACAGCTCTGGGGTTCTATTTCATGGCTGCTGGCAAACCCAACTCATTTCACAAGTGTGGAATTAAGCCTGTTTCAAGAGTTTGTATAGCTTTCACACTGAAATGAAGCTTCTATACTCTGGTTCCTATTATAGCCAAACAAACCTCTTATTTATCGACCAATATGTGTACTTGAGAAGAAAAAGATGGCTCCCCTAACATCAACTCATCACTAATTCACTTAAACCACTGTTTATTTTTGATTATTTTTTTTTTATCAAAATTTTTATCACCTGCACTGTCTCTACTTTACTTGAGAGTAAATTGCAGAACTTAGCTCAGCCAGGCAACAGATTCACAAGCTTCCAAAACCAAACCCCCTTAAGGCTTAGGGTTAGGACTAGGATGCAAAAATGGTTTGAAAATGTAAAAATGCATGTGCGACCTCTTCTAATATAAAGAGAGCTTAATGTGGCTTTTGCTATGGTTATTTTCTGTTAAGATTACTCTTAATACATCAGCATTTTTATGTAGTACTTAGTTTGGTACAGAAAAAAAGGAAAAGCAAGCATGCTGAAAGAGCTGTGTTTCTATATAATTTGAACAAAAGTGTAAACCCTGCAAACATGCAAATTAGCCTTTGTGACCTAGTGTGAGGTGTATTTATTAATCTTATTGCTAGGGATACACATTTAGAGACTGATTTGAAACATTACAGAGGAGGAGGGGAAAGTGTAATGGAAGCAAAGGTCATAATATCAACTGATCATAAAAAAGAAAAACAAATCTATTGGACTAATACAGTCTTATCCTATCAGGTGAGATGTAATATCTAAGAAGATTCAAAAGGCAAAATAAATGAAGCACATCTTGCTAAATGCACAGCTCTGTCACATGTATGGGGTATGAGCATTGTTACAATAACTCCCCATTACTTATTTACATGACCTACTAACTTAGATTTTGGGCTGAGCTTTCAGAGGACTGCACACAATCAAGGAGTGTCCCCAGGTAGCTGATCGTTTCATCCAATTAAGCTTTATTATTGAATTGTAACCTTCTACCAAGTCCTTTCCAAACACTTTTATAAACTTTATTGCAGTGCAACACATATTTATTTGAAAATGATAAGGCCCCTGATAAACTAATCAATATATTTGTCCATAATCTAAAACAATTATATAATATCAGTTAGATGTGACAACATCAATATTCAAGCAAGGTCTTGTGAATGGCTAAAGATTCTCAAAATAAATTGCAAAACACTGGAATCCCTTATTTTGCATTGCATACAATTTCATCTGAGACATATTTCTTGTGGTTACAATTTAAAGTTTAATAGAAATCATTTTTATTTGACTGCTATCTTAGAAAATAGTGAGCATGAACAAATCGGAATACCATGAACCAGGGTTTAAAACAAATTCAAGTAAAACCTTTTTCTGTATTTCCATTTGGACAGGGAGCCCTATATGCAGCATGAAATATCTATGTTGGAAACTCTCTGTAAGTGTGGACATCTGCGTAGGTTGTGACCCTTGTCAAAATTTTTCTTGACATGTTCATAAAAATCTAGCTGTCTGAAATTGGCTGAAGATCAAACTGAACTACAATATCAGAAACATAGAAATATTTCACTAGAAGTGAGTAAATGTTCTGTACATTTTCTAAACCACACAAATATCAGGCAGATAAGCAATAGTGTAATACAAGCAGGAAGAAAAAACTAAAAAAAAACTAAATAGCAAAATCATTTAGAGTAGTTTCTTTAAATGGCAGTGCTCACCTTCAGTCCATTAATTCCTGGGATACCAGGAGGTCCAAGAGAACCCTGGAAAATAGTAATAAAGGTTTATTGATTTATTTAGACAGATTTTCATTAACATCTTTATAACAAACAGATAAAAACATTCTATAAAAATCATCCATTGGAAAAAAGGGGTTTAGATATCAAGACACTCAATAATGCAACATTGAAAATCTAAAAATAACATTTGCCTGCACTCAGGCATTGTATATTGAGTTCTTCATTCCCAGATGGATGTTTTTTGCGAATCCATAGCTACTTTATTGCAAGTTTCATTTGGACATGTTTAAAGCTAAAAAAGTCCATCTCAGTTTCCCATTATTTGGCCTTCTATATACTAAAAGCATGTGTATGCTACAATATCATTCAAAGGAACACTAGAGCTCAGTCTAAGGCTGTGCCTGAATGTCCTCTCTAATCACTATGACGGGCACTATATAGTGGTTACGCTATATTAAATGACTGTCTAAACGTCTAGTGAATGAAAAAAATAGAGGACTCGAAATTTCCTACGATGCACCTTGAAAAGTAGTTATCGTTCATGGCCACTAGACGAGCAGATACATCCCGGAATGCTTTGCGAGGAGAGCTCTCCTCACAAACCAATTCAGGGATTTGTTGTCACAGCGGCCTGCTGTCACCTACAGCTGTCACTACTTGACAGTGGTGACAAATAACAAAAATGGCAAAGGCGTCATGCAGGGAGTGAAAAGTAGTGATTATCTGTCCGAACGGTATGTTAACTGATTTCACTATAAAGTGCACAATATAGAGTGCGCTCTCCAAAATGTCTGAGGGATCTAGGGTCTATATATTTTCTACAATGAACTGTCTTCCAATGAAAATATTGTAATAGGAACACGACTCAATAAATAGATAGAATCCTTTATTTATCCCAAGCTGGGAAATTGCAGAAAATCTGTCAGTTGAGAGGCATGCATGTTGACCCGTACCCAAACTAATATATTTTCTGGAATTTCTGCAGCTTTCTGGTATGAGTACTCGAGAAGAATTTTTCAGACAATACATGACTCATATCAGAAAGGTGTTGAAATTAGAGGTACCTGAAGCTATCTAGCAAGAAAGCTGCAAACTAAACCAAACTCATGATCATGCAGAGATACTTAATAAATAAAAGGGACTAAAAAAAAGATGAAACATACAGATCCCTTCACTCCTACACTAAAACTTTAAATATTATATAAAGCTGCTAAGTCAGACTTCCGATTTTATTGTAATTTAGATGCTGCTGCCCGATGTTAAAAGGGAGCTCTCAAATCAATAATGCCTCTGAAAAATGAATAAACTCAAACAGCTTTGTCAGGAGGAATCCTCCAAAATTCCTTTCCCTGACTGAGTGAATCTCATCAGCGGTAACAGGAAACGTCTGAGGGAGTTTCCAATAAATTCAAATATGTTTTCCAGCCCGCTGTCTGTTAGAGTGATTACTCAATTTGTTTTAATAAAGACATGAAAAGCACAATGTTTGTGGGTTATTAGCTTTGTTAGATCAATCTTGTCTGCATTTCTGGCTGTGAGGAAAGTCAGTACATCTGGGCTTTTACTTACTACAGAGTTATTCGTGTCTTTATGAAGTTCCTATCCCATCTTACGGTTTTTTATGTCAGCAGTTTTGCGATAAAAATGCCTTATTGTTATTCTAGTCGTAGATTTTGGAGAACAGGAACAATAAAAAGGAGTCTTTGAATATTTTCACTTTCTCCCACCCTCCTTTAAAAGTACTGAGTAAACATGACTCATGTCGGGTGTTTTATCATTTAATGGCAACCAAACAGCCACCGAGGTGCTGAAACTTGATCGGGGTCTCCATGTGGCCCCTTTGCCAAACAGCAGAAGATCTAATTGAACAGCCTCCGGGCCTGGATTATGAGTCATTAACGCGGCGGTGGATCATCTTTGACCCCTTCACGTACACACCCCCAACTCTTCGACAGATGACGGCGCAGACAGGAAATGTCTGATTGGGTTACACTGAACAAACACTGGCAGCTACCTGATGGTTGGCTACAGCCTCCATCTGTTTCCCACATCAGTCTGTATCGCAGCACTTAACTCCAGGTTCCCTGTTCTCCATCTCTCATTCGTCTCTTTTGCCCCTTTCTCAATGTGTTTACTTGACCTGACTGTGGCTCTTCTGTACCTAATCTCCATGTAAATATTCTAAACAGCCAAGACAGTTAGGTTGAATCAAACAAAAGTATCCTTAAATCAAAAACATTATTTTAAAGTCGGAGGACAGTACCTTCTGGTTTATGTCAGAATTCACATCTCTTGGTTGACGTTTTGTAAGGCACATTTTCTGTGCTTTTGCAAAAGGTTTATACCCCTTGCTCTATCTAAACGTGTTGAATAGTAAAGCCACAGTCATGAATTTACTTAACTTGGATTACACTGGGATCAATTCCTCTTCAATCTGACACCCCTCAAAAATATATGGTGTAACCAACTGCTTTCAGACACAGTCATTTACCTGTTAAGTAAATAGACTCCACCTGTATGTAATCTAATATCAGTATAAAACCAGCTATACCTTTAAGGACCTCATAGATTTGTTGGAGAACTTTAGCGAATAAACAGCATCAGGAAGAGGGATACAGCAGACAGGTCATGGATACAATTTTGTTGAAATCATGATTAAGTCATAAAACATATCATGGGTTCTAAAATCTTAGAAAACACCTGTGCAACCTATCATCTGGAAAAGGAAAGAGTATTGGTCAACATCAAACCTACCAACACATGGTTTTCCACGTAATCTGGTAAGTTGGGAAAGTAGACCATTAATTAGAGAGACGCCAGGAGGCCAATTCTCGGGAGACTGCTGGGATTCAAAGCCCAGGTGGGAGAGTCTGTCGACAACTGTTTGTCATGCTCTTCATGACTTTAAAGGAGGAGTTGCAATAAAAAAGAAGTTGTTGAAAGAAACCTGGGAGAAGTTTTATTTGGAATCTGCCATGAGCCATGCACTGGGTGGATTGAATGTTTAAAAAGCAGGTGGTCTGGTCAGGTGCTTTGAGTTAAAAAGTAAGATTTATTTAATGTGATGGGAACATCATACTTCAGAGATGATAGGAAAATTGATAGAACTAACCGATTGAATACTTTGAGTATGGTATGGTACTTAGTATTGAATACGTAGTAGGGCAGCATCCCCACATATACAGCCAGAGCTACGATGGAAGGGTTTATTACAAAGCATATTCATATATCAATTTACTTGAGCCATTTAAAGTGCATGATTAAATCCAACTGAGAAGATGCTCTTGTTTCTATTTTAATGAGCTTGAATGTTTTAAGGGATTGTCAAAGTACGTAGTCTTTAGATGTGCACTGCTTGCAGCTGTATTTGTAGAAAAAAAAAAGGTAAAGAATCAGTTGCACTGAATACGAATGCCTACATTATAAATATGTATCTATGCTTATTTTCAAAAATGTATCTGCAAGAAAATACATATTTCCTCAAAATTCCAAGTAATGCAAAACTTTATTGTCATTTATCACTTTCCAATAAACACTTTTGTGGTTGCAACTAGAGAATACCTGAAGATTTCAAGGGATATAACTTCTTTTGGCAAGACACCAAAAAGGCACCTTGGCGATAATTTTAATATAAGTAGGAAAGTTAAACCTTTTTTACATGATCTAAAGAACAGGCAAGTTGATTTTGTGTAACTTACCTTTGGCCCTTGAGGCCCCTCAAGTCCCTGTGAAAGATAAGAGAAACAGACAGAGATTGAGTGGAAGAAAAATACAGTACAGAAAAAAAACAGTCCTGGTCAGATGAAATAATGCATTGCTCCCAGCCAGCAGTGAGACTGGCAAACTCATGGGAGGATTTCATGCAATAAGCATACGCCCTTCTGGCAAAACTGAATCACAATCAGCCCCTTGTTTCATTTCTCAAGGATTGACTGAAAATTGTCTCACCCTGAGTCTGTCTTGTCATGGAACTGCACCCTAAATATGAATTCCTAATGAGACCATGGACTAAAACCCTTAGGGTTTTATCTTTTATGACAATCTCTGTCTTTGTTCATTTTAGAAACAACAAAAGTGTGCCTCGTCTTGGCCATGCAAGGCTCCAAGTGCAGAGTCCAAGAAAAGGGAAAAGTTCAGTACCTAAATGGGCCAATATTTGGAAAGCTTTACAGAGATAATCTGTCAGAAAGTGCAAAAAAGGCGCCATGTTTCTGAGATGTAAATCAGTCATGAATGTGTTTGGAATAGTGCCGTTCATCGCTGTTAAAAGGAAGCCATGTTAGATCGTCAGCTTTTTCCTAAGTTTGTGGACAAAATGTTGTAAAAAGAAGACTGAAGTCTTGGCGTATCAAAGCAGTTCATTAACACCTTTTAGTTCTGGCTGCTATGACTCTCCTTATCAGCCAGCTTTATGTTGCTTTGGGCTTGAGACAACATGCCATTTGGCACTTCCCTTGCAGCTCAGTTAAGGCCAGACGGACCCTTCGCCCTACAAGACCTCAACGGCAGCAATGTTTCAGCTCGTGTTTGCATTGATGCAGTATAAATGTCAAAAAGATATGGTCCCTTATTGAGTTTAAAACTCTGCTGGGCCTGTGTTACGAGAAAAAGTTCCCAGTGAGGTAATATTAAAGTTGAAAAGTTTGTCTGTCAGAGCAAACGTCTGTGCAAATCAAGCATGGTTTGGTTGGCGCCAAGTTATGACTTAATAATGATTGGCTTTCTGGGAAGGAGCTGCTTGTTGGATCACTTCTTGTTAAGTTTTTGTTGATGAAGCAAAGCGTTCATCACATAGCTCAAGGTATCCCATTTTCCTATTTACATTTTCCCCAACATTCTCCCTTTAAGGTCTTGTTAGCAGCAAGTTCTCACACACAAAAGCAAGACCCGCTCAGTTGCAGCTCTTTTATTGTGCATTCCATCTCCACTAATAACAAAAACCTCAGTAAAGAACTTTCATTACTCTATCTAGCCAAGAGAAGAAAAGGTTTTCCTCCTGCATGCTTTTAAATACCTTTGTTTGCTAACTTCAGTAGGGTAAACATGTTTATGACCCAATAGGTATGTGAGAGCATGTACCACTTGCCCAAGTGCTAATTAACTTGGCTACATCTGAGACCACTCAATAGTTAGTAGAAGGAGAGGGGATTTTTCAGAGTCAAGTGCCCTCAAGGAAGTCCGGATCCTTCTCAAATCAAAGTAGGGCTGAACATTGCTTGGTCGTTAGAGTAGTCTTAATGAAACTTTGAATGAAAGAATTCACCACTATAATTTATATGCAGGATTTTACACTTTAAGATGTACAACAAGATGCTTATTGTAGTCGAGCATGGAAGCACACTTACAAATGCTGAATGTTTTGTACCTCCATTCATGGCTTTTGAATTGGCCAATAATGTAGCAGTGACTTGGTCATTTCCCACACTTTTTTCCGGCAGCACTTAAATCCTCTGCTTGTGAAAAACTGCAGAGTGAGCAGCTCTTGCTTCACAATAAAACATAAACAAGTTTGGGCTCATCAAAGCTCAATGTAAAACATACTGAAGTTGGGCTTATTATGTTTCTGAAATGTACATCAGCTTTACAAACACAAGCCACTTTGTTAGGTAATTTCTTAGTACTTTTTGTACTAAGTTGGACCTGTTTCTGCCTCCAGAGCGACCTCAAATATTCGTGGATTAGATTAAATGAGGAGCCTAAAACGTTTCTGGAAAATTTTGATCAACTGTGAACTCAGCTTCTCACAGCTGCAACAGGTTTCCCTGATAACAATATTCTATTCAAGCTGCAGAGCAACTGGATTTAGATCCAGTGACTGTTAGTGCAGTAAATTAACTGTAAAGTTTAAGAGACAAGTTTGAGATGATTTGATGCTGCTTAGGGTATCGATTGAAAGATAGGTACAATATAGTCTAGACAAAAGGCAATAGACAATTACACCACCAAAAACAAATGAGGTAGCTTGAAAAAGGCAAGCAGCATGCTTTCATGTTTTTCCTGCAAAATTCTGACCTTAAAGTTGTAATTGAATCTATACTTCTATACTTTCCCTCTTTCATTTCCACAAAACTGCAAAAATTAGAAATATCTTTTCCAGGGGTGATGCTGAAAAACAGGTTAATGTGTTTATTACTTCAAGGCTGGACTATTGTTAATATTTACTATCAAGAAGTCCAAAAATTGTAGTCAGAATCATTCTGTTCATCCAAAATGCAGCCACAGTTCTGATGAAAATTAAAAGGATAGATCATATTTTTTTTTATCTTAGCTTCCCTTCATTTGCCTCCTGTTAAATCCAGAATATAATTTAAAATCCTCATTCCCATATTTAAACTCCTAAATAACCAAGCTCTCAACCTGCAGGTTTTCTATTGATTCATAGAATTTATAAAAGTAAAATGGAAAGAAGATCTTTTAGTTATAAATCTGTTTTCTTGTAGGGGTAATCTTAAAACCTTTATTTTTGATAAAGCGTTTAGTTAGAGTGGCTCAGGTTATCCTGAGCTATCTCTGTAGCTATGTACAGTAGTTATGTTGCTATAGGCTTAGACTGCTGGAGGACATAGGGATCACTTTACATCATTCTGCTTGATTCTATCTCTATTTTCCCAATCTGCAGTATTATTTATTTCAACCCCTAACTTTATGTTCTCTCTGCTTTTTCTCATCATGGTAGCTTGCAATGTATTGCTATGTTTTCTTGCAACCTCATTAAAAGTAAAAATCTATTCAAATTCTTTCTTTAAGCATTTTGTCCATCCTTATAAATGAATAATTGTTGAAAAATGTTTATTTAACATGTTAACTTTAGACCAAGTTGTAGTAATCAATTAACTTTCAGACACTAGAAAATTCTCACAAAAAAAGACTTTGACGCCTCATGTGTTTAAGTTTTTCACTCAGGTTTTGTGTCTGTGGGTGTTTTACGGTCAAAGTTGATATGTTTTAGACATCTGAAATATGTCTGTCTGTGCAATGCACAGATATAGCACGTGTATTGCATTGCATTGCTGTAAATCACCTGAACATAAAGTTCAGTTTGTTTAAGGCTTCTGCTAATAAGTACTGCTGGGGTAAGTAAGGTATGCAAATATCCCCACACACCCCATCGTGCTCCACTATGATTTTAAAACTTTGAAGGCAGTTTAGTTCCTAAATTTGGTGGAGCATGCAAATATTAAAACAGGCAAAACCTTCTCAATTCTTTTTTGATTTCCACAAGTTCTGAGGTGATTGTAAAAAATATAAAATATTTAAAAAAAACCTTTGCTAATTCAATACCAACCTATTGTGGTGTACATATTTGAAATTTCAATTGCATTGGACTACATGTAGCATAGCTTGATAATGACTTGATGACATTCATGGTTAAAATGTTATGTTATTGTAGTGGACTTCATTCAGTCCTACGAGGAACTCGTAGGACTAGGAGTTAAGTTACTGTATATTTTGGTTAGTGCAAGATGTTAAATTGGTGGTTCCTAAAGTTTTCAGCTTTGGATTAATAAAATACCACTGACAGGATCTTGTGGTCCCAGCAAGGGGAAAAAACAAACTGTGCTAATAGGCAATTTAAAATTTAAACAAACCTGAAAGGGCAGTTTCAGTTGATTTCAAGTGATTGCTTCAAAACATTCAGTAATTTATAACTCACATTGCTGTCTCAGACCAAATTGGGTAGCTGCTTTGGTAAATTACATTCAGAAAATGTTTATTCCAACATTTCTAACTCAATATGACTTGATGAAATATATATAGATGCAATATTTCTCTTAGCTTGTGTTCACAATGGGGAGGTTTAATAATAGAATGTGGCTAAAGGAACAATTAAAGTTTCTTTATTCTTTATTTTATGTTAGTTACATCAACATTTCTTCATATTTTCATCTGTATATTCTTCTTTTCATAAATTTCATTTAAATTTTGCCCTTAAAACTGGCTGGGGTTAAAACACAACCTAGGAGCTTGGTTTGGAAAGGTCTTTTTGAGCACAGGATTTTTTTTTTGTTGCAATGAACAAATGTCTTTTTCAGGTCAGCCAGTATAACTTAACATAAATTTTAATGAATAAAGCAGATTAATGATTTATGCACTGGAATGTACCCTCCGAAAAAAGGGAATTTGGCTCACTGGCTGCATTCTATGGGTGAAAGATGGGGTACACCATAGACAGGTAGGCAGTCTTTAGCAGTTCTTTCCCTTCTTTTTTATTATATTTTACTGGACCAAGTGTGCTATTACCACATACAGCCAAGCTTCATGGGGTACAGAAAACATCCCCACAGACAATTGGTTGGCTTGGCTAAAAAACAGAACCGACTGTGCAAGAATTCTCCCAAACTATGGCCATTTCATCCCTGCCTTTTAAGGTTACACTCTCTAGCTGGGTAAGAAATTTTGAGTGGAATTTTAGAATCTTAAAAAAAAGAAAGGAAATGCAAATTAGATGTTTCCCCATCTATTAGGATGAGTTATTCAGTTAATCAATATCGTCATATGTATAAGTTACGCTTGGCTGTGATAAACAGCAAATAAAGGTAATAATTGACCAAGGACTGAAATGAAACCAAAAGGGCTGAATTTGCTTATCTTTTTGTTTCTTAAAAATCTGAAATAAACAACATTAACATCAGAAAAAGAATGTTTTTTTTAATGAATTCTCATTGCCACACTCAATTATATATAGAAAAAAATGGATGAAAAGTGCATACATTAATTTCTTTTT